ACGCATGCGCTCTGACCCCTGATCTCGAGATCCTACCGAATGGAGACCAGACCGAGATCGGAGAACGAGGCATCACTGTGTCTGGTGGACAGAAACAGCGTTTGAATATCGCCCGAGCCATCTATTTCAATGCGGAAATGGTGCTTATGGATGATCCTTTGTCGGCTGTCGATGCACATGTCGGTCGTCACATCATGGACAAGGCAATCTGTGGTTTGCTCAAAGATCGTTGCCGAATCCTGGCGACGCATCAACTCCATGTACTCAGCCGATGTGATCGAATCATTGTCATGGATGCGGGACGGATTAATGCCGTTGATACTTTCGAAAACCTGATGCGCGACAACGAGGTCTTCAAGCGGTTGATGTCTAGTTCTCGACAGGAGGATATGCAAGAAGAGGAGACAGAGGCGGTCGACGAGGTCGTGGATGAAATAGACGAAGATGAGCCAAGCCCCAAGAAGGCCGCCCCAGCAAAACCTGCTGCGGCCCTGATGCAGCAAGAAGAAAAGGCCACCTCATCCGTCGGCTGGAGTGTCTGGAAGGCGTATATCCGAGCCTCCGGCAGTTATTTCAATGCCATCATGGTTTTCATCTTGCTCGGCATTACGAATGTCGCCAACATCTGGACTAGTCTGTGGCTATCCTACTGGACTTCTGACAAGTATCCGGGGCTGTCGACCGGCCAATATATTGGAGTTTACGCTGGACTGGGTGTCAGTGTTGTTCTCTTGATGTTCTCCTTCTCAACTTATATGACCACCTGCGGTACGAATGCTAGCAAGACTATGCTTCAGCGTGCGATGTCTCGTGTGCTCCGCGCGCCTATGAGTTTCTTCGATACTACGCCACTTGGACGAATCACCAACCGCTTCTCAAAGGACATCCAGGTGATGGATAATGAACTTTCGGACGCGATGCGTATCTATGCCTTGACGATGACTATGATTATCTCTATTATGGTCTTGGTCATAGTATTCTTCTATTATGTGAGTACCCCCTCTCTTAATATTTCTTGGGTATTTGTGATGCATGATGTGCTAACCCCCTTTAGTTCGTCATCGCAATTGTCCCGCTGTCTATACTATTCCTTCTAGCTTCGAACTATTACAGGGCATCTGCTCGCGAGATGAAGCGCCATGAGAGCACCTTGCGCTCAATGGTGTATGCTAGGTTCGGTGAGGCCATCACGGGAATTGCATGCATTCGAGCATATGGCGTAGAAAACCAATTCCGCCGCACCATCCGAGACTCGATTGATGTGATGAACGGGGCCTATTTCCTCACTTTTTCCAATCAGCGTTGGCTCAGTGTTCGACTCGATGCTGTGGCGACTGTAATGGTCTTCGTGGTCGGTGTTCTGGTTGTCACTTCTCGGTTCAATGTCTCTCCCAGTATCTCTGGGTTGGTGTTGTCTTATATCTTGGCGATCGCACAGATGCTCCAGTTCACGGTTCGTCAGCTGGCCGAGGTTGAGAACAACATGAACGCCACAGAACGTGTTCATTACTACGGTACTGAGTTGGAAGAGGAAGCGCCTTTGCACCTGGCCGAGGTGTCAGCTAGCTGGCCTGAGAAGGGCCATATCGAGTTCAGCAGCGTGGAGATGCGCTACCGGGCCGGCCTTCCACTCGTTTTACAGGGCCTCACCATGGACGTCCGAGGAGGCGAGCGCATTGGTATTGTCGGCCGCACCGGTGCCGGCAAATCGAGTATCATGTCCGCACTATTCCGTCTAACCGAACTATCAGGCGGTAGCATCAAAATTGATGACATCGACATTTCAACCGTCGGCCTCCACGACCTTCGATCCCGCCTTGCCATCATTCCCCAAGACCCAGCCTTATTCAAGGGCACGATCCGCTCGAATCTTGATCCTTTCAACGAGCACAACGACCTCGAACTATGGTCTGCGCTGCGCAAGGCGTACCTCGTCGGCCAAGAGAAAGAGCTCGAAGGCGAGGAACTGCCAAGCGGGCCAGCCAGCGGAGCCACAACCCCAGTCACGGACAATGACGTGAAAGCGCGCCCAATCAAAACACTCACCCTCGAATCGCCTGTCGACGACGAAGGTCTGAACTTCTCCCTAGGCCAGCGGCAACTGATGGCTCTCGCGCGGGCGCTGGTCCGCGACGCACGTATCATCGTCTGCGACGAAGCTACCTCTTCCGTTGACTTCGAGACCGATCAAAAGATCCAACACACTATGGCTCAGGGCTTCGATGGGAAAACTTTGCTGTGTATTGCGCATCGCTTGCGCACGATCATCCACTACGATCGCATCTGCGTTATGGATAAGGGTCAGATTGCTGAGATGGATGCACCAGTTGTGCTGTGGGATAAGGCAGATGGCATCTTCCGTGCCATGTGTGAGCGCAGTGGAATCACGCGCGAGGATATTCTCAACACTGACTGAGATGATTCATGTTTTATGTTTTAAAAATCAGTACATAATCTCCACACATCATACATACAAGATACTAGGGCACATCAAAAGTCACTGTTAATGCACATACAATCTTTCAATTCCGCATCTTCACATTATTCTCTATAAAAACGAAGAACTAAGATCACTCCTTATCCAATTCACAAACCAATTCCATCCCCAAATTTCGCATCATCCCCTCAACCCCAGCCTCCCTCCACCCAACAAGATCCCTCTCATCCAGCTGCACCTTCTCTTCCTCCTCTGACAATGCCCCAACAGGCAACCCAGTAAACTTGACCGGCAATCCAGGCGCCGTCCCAACAACCCTCATCCGCAAACCCGTCAAAATACCACGCAGATGATCTGCCGCCTTTCCTCCACCCCGTCCACCATACGAAACAATCCCCGCGGGCTTCCCCTTCCACTCGAAGAAGAGATAATCAAGCGCGTTCTTCAGACTCGCCGGGACACTCCAGTTATACTGCGGTGTAACAAAGATAAAGGCATCGTACTGGCGCACTACGGCGGACCAGGCCCGCGTATGCGCTTTGCTGTAGTGCGGGGTGGGGTCTGCTGCTGGGAGGCTGGCGGGGATGACGGATTCGTCGTAGAGAGGCAGAGATTGCTTTGCTAGATCGAGGATTTCGAAGGTTATGTGGCGTGGGTCTGTGTCGACTGTTTCGTTGTGGTTTGTTGGGATCTTCGGGTCCGAGGTGAGGACGTCATAGACGTACTGCGTTATCGTGGGGTTGAGGCGCGGGCTGCGCGTGCTGCTGGTGACTATCGCGACACGTTTGGGAGGCATTTTGAGTATGTAGTAAGTAATTCCCGGGGGATATGAATGAGTTAAATAGTTGTTTGAAAGAGATATTGTGGGAGCCTATGTCTTCGGGGTTGCGGATATAGTAGCTCGGAAGTCGGAGATTTCTACATTTGGGATTTCTGGGATCTGGGATTTCTACATTTGGACTGGAAGAAATTAGAATAGACTATGACGATGTTCATTTTTTTGACAAATATACAGCTTATGCAGTGCCTAGTTAATTAAGATAGTATAACAGAGTAGTGGAAACATCGGATACTACCATTCTGGATTTTGAACAAACCAACCTAAGGAAGATTCCACAGCATCTATCTAAGACACGGAACGGAGTTACTGTCTCCTATATCCCTCTTCTTCAATCTCAAGAACAACGACTATATACCCAAGAATCAAGCACAGGACATAAAGCAATGAGTCTGTCCCTGCGTACCTATCTCTTCCAACGCGGGATCCGGTCTGCGCAGCCAATTAGCCAGCATATTGGTACAATGATCAACATGCTCCAGATCCCCAAGCATATTATCCAGCCGAGCACCACGCATGTGGACATCGTGGCCCCGTCGAAGGAGATACAGACAATGAACCAAATGCTCACGGACAGCAGTCCAATAGAAGTCCGGGTTATTGCCGAGTTCAGTGTAGTCCTTCATCTGCTGTGTGGCAGCCTCATCATAGAAATAGACAAAAGGCTTGCCATTATTGAAATGCGCAAACTCATGCGTGAAGTCATGCGGACATTCTTTGTGCAGCCAGCAGCCAGCAAGAGGATCGTAGGCGCAGCCGAGGGCTTCGGCTTCCTTCGTTGAGTTACCGCACGAGTATCTTACTCGTGGGGCTGGTGGCAGACACTGTCGCTGGCCTTCGAGTGACTCGGGGTATGCGAGGGAGTCAGAGGTTGGACCTTTCACGACAAGCACCTTGCGGAAGGGTTCCACGGTGATGGCTGTGATTACGGCGATCACTAGGAGTAGGAGGATCATGAGTAGGCTGGTGATGGTGATTGCAGCGAGGTTTCGTTTTAGAAATTGATGGAAGCCCCGACGCGGTGGTCTGTTTGTGATGGTGGCATCGCTGTCACCATCTGCGTCCCCTTTTGGGACGGGGTCGTAGTCGCGGGAGAAGACTTTGTCCATGATGACAGAATTAACGAGTGACTATATGAGAATTGGTCGTGGAATCGAAGAGAAGAGAAATATCTCTTTTTCCCGGGAGAAATGGGTAGCAGTTGCTCATGATGCTTATTGAGATTGTAGTCTTATTCATCTCGGGGTCGGGACAAAGAGTAGATGAACGGGCGAAGGCTATAGATGACCAGATGGAGATGTCAATAAGACTTGGAAGAAATGAGCCAATTATAGGTGAGCTCTTGAATGGAGATCATATCTGAGCGAAGTGTTCAATAAGAGAGACTAACGCAAAAATGGTTGGTCCAAAACAAAGAAACCCTAGAAACCCCTTGGCAGCGCTATTTTCGAAGACGTCTGTTGCTAATAATATCCCATTTTACTATGCTAAAGAGCGCTCTATATAATTAACATAAATGTATTGTTCAAAGTATCTATATGTAATCAAATTTTATCTGCTAGGCTGAGCACAATATTCAAATATCCACCAGCAAATTCATCTCGAGACATATTCACAAATTCCCGATAAAAATTCACAACAAAAAGCGATATATAACAAGAATGAAAGAAGAAAATGTACGAAGCTAGCACAAAGCCAACTTCAGGATCTATATCCGGTACGAGTCTAGACAACGAAGACGGTCTGGTTGAGAGACTCCAAGAATGCGGAGGGACCGGCCTGCAATTCAAAAATTAGCTTACTTGAACTCAAGTAGATGTCAAAGATCTACTTACACCAATCAAAGCCGCATGAGCGACATTAATCTGGCTTTTTCCAAGGGTAGCTGAGGCCGGCACAGTGACCGTGAAGTTCTCATACGGGGCCAGGTTGGACTCGTGGTACACGGGGTTGAAGGGTCCGTTGTATAGAATTGTTCCGAGGACCTCGTCTGCGTCTCTGCAGGGCGAGGATGCACATGACGAGAGGCCGATTGCTACACCCATCTCCTTGGATGGACTCAGAGAGTTCTGAATGATACATTAGTAAAACATGTTTCGGTGACGAAGTTGGAAGAGTTATGAAGCACGATGTCTGGAACTTACGGAACGCTGCACTTGAATGATGACTTCCTTGCCGGGATTGATTTTCTGGTTCTCGGTGGGGAGTCCAATTACAGCTCTCTGGGCAATGGCAACGGCGACGAAGAGAACCATGGAGAAGGACTTCATTTTGATTGGTGGGAGAGGTATAGCGTTAGATTGTTGGTAAGATGATAAGATGTTATGATATGTTCTGTTATTATATGGAGAGTTCCAAGGTGCGATGATTCTGGGGTATTTATATACTCAAAATCCGGATGAAGGGTCAGTCCTAGCAGTGATCCCTAGAATTCTGAAAACGTCGAAGATGGTGATTGGTCGAGTCTCTGCAAGTTTTAGATTCAGTGCAAGGACAGCCGCCTGACACTAAGGCCAATCGGGAAACTTCAACTGGAAATCCCCTTTATTATAGATCCGCCTTGCATAAGTATCGGAATCAGCAACCTGACTGGAGTCTCACTTTAAGTCAAGGATGCACTCGGGCTTGATTTCAAACCTGCCCCTCATATTATTGGCGAGGTTTTGAGAGTTGAGGGTGCACTCAGTGGCTGTCTCACATATAAGCTAAGCCCCTGATATTGCTCGAGCAATGACCTGAGGAAGATAAACGTCTACAATTTAGGGCTGCATAAAATGCATTGGTTAGTTGAGGTTTCTCCACAACCCCCAGAATAGAATGAACTCTAATAGATAAATGAGGCCCGGTTTGTTCAGCCTCAATTTAAGGCTGAACAGAGAAAGTCTCACTGAGCGGGCAAACGTCAGATCCAAAATTAGATTATCCAAAGTGAGATAATAGTTTCTGAGTAATTGAATCCCCTTCATTTATGTATACGAGAATAAATAGGCCCGTAGTAATCTGTTGACAATCGTGCTTTTCAACCAACTATGATCTCTCTCTTCTTTGAGCTTCCTGTGTCTCCCATTTTTCCTAGTTCCCATGTTCAGGTTGTGGTATCAAGTTCATCCGGCATCGCTGGGTTTAAAAGGTATGAGTCCAAACCCTTGCCTCGTTCCCACTGCGTGTGGGCCATCAAGGCACAAAATCACATCGGGTTTTGTTGGCCGTTGGTAAAATGCAGTGTAACTCTTCCATCGTTGGGCGACATGGTCTTGTCACTCACAAATCATTTCTAGCAAATCAATGGATATTATCTACATCAGGTTTCTTGTATTTTCACTCATCATGTTTTGATATTTATATATTTACACTACTTCAGAAAAGGGATTGTATCACCAAAGAGAAGCTACAAATCACTAGAAGAGAGTTTTTCGCGCTTTTAGGCACGAGAAAGCCATAGTTGAGCACCCTGTCAATTCCCATCCATCACTCTCATTTACGTGCCCCTATCTTATTGCTTGGTTAACCTAAGTGACCGGAGTCTTCTGATTTCCCTGATTGTCATCCTTTTGAATTTATCAAGTGGTAAATTAGTTGTATCTTTTCAAGAATATCCTCAGATCAACCGGTGGTGACGACGTCTTGGCCCCAACTCCACATGGCTGCAGAAAACCAAAATAGCTGCACTCTCTATATTTTAGTTCTATTAGTTCTATTACTTCTATGAATATTGTTTCAATGTTGACACATCACCTGCCTTGGTGCCTAGCTTGTCAGGCTTCACCTAGCCATTTAGCTAACTTCAATTCGCCTGCTAGATCTCCTGGGGAAAAAAGCAATCATTTCTCGCCTCTTTCCCCTTCCCTTGTTGCCGTCCTTGTTCCCATACTTGTCCGGTCTTTTTGTTCTAGTTTTCATGATTTTCTTCAAACGGAGAGGACAATCCTCCATGAATGGGTGGTATGGCAGGATTTCATAAATGAAAATCCTACCCTTTCTTGTCCTCGTTCTTTTCATCTTCATTATCCCCCTTGTGGTCATGGTTGTGGTCATCGTTGTTCGGATTCATGTGCTCTGTGTTCGTGACTCAGCTTCTTGCCCTGGTCCTTTCGCTTGCTTTTCGCATCTGTTTTCAAGAGAGCGGAAAACTTTCGATTGAATGAGTTGTCTTGTAATGGTGAAGTGGACAGTATTTCTTTCATGTCACTCTCGTCATAGGAGCCTCGGCTGGATGGCGGCTTGAAGTGTCTGGACTAGGTGTACAAAGCATAGGTTTTGGCTGTATGAATTCAGGAGGTCGTCTTTCGATCATTATATTATTTGATATCAATTTGAATCACAATATAAAGCAAGAAACAGAATATAAAATTCCATGTGATAGTCATACTACTATTAGCATGCGCAGAGAATATCTAGATCGTAGAATGTTGATGTCTAAGCTACGGTGAGAGCAGAATAGATGAAAAAGCGCATAAATATGCACATAAGAATAGTGATATTGAAGCAAGCATGGCGAATGGGATGTCCCATATTACACCAAAGAGATGATGGCAATGCAAGAACTGGAGGAAAATTCTCATAAATCAAGTGCAAAGTACGAGGCAGAAAAGATAAAGGGAAATGTGCAAAGGGAAAAAAGCCTAGCTGCATGTAACTAGTTAGCCATTCCTAGCCTGATCTATTAGGCATCCATGGGGCGTGAACACTGATGATTTTCAAAAACATGTGTAACGTAAGGAGAGAACATCTAGGTAAGAAAATGTTAATAGTGAACGCGAACAATGAAGAAAAAACCCTACTGAATGGAGCATTGGGCTTTAGCCTCTCATGATAAGAACGCAAGAAATGGAATCTCGCCTGATTCTTCAAAGCCCAGTCACCTTTCTGACAGTCAATTCGTCCAGGAGCCCTCGGGGCTTTGGTAAGCTGAACATATCAATCACAGCCGGCGCCCTTTCTCGGCCTCAAGAGCTGCTGCCATTTGCACCATCCTACGCCTCCACTTCCTTTTACGCTTCGTGTTGCGTGGGTTTCGAAAACACTCGTCAACAGGGTGCTTCGTGAGACGCTGGTGGTAGGGACAGTACTGCTTGGGGAAACCGTAAATTTGATCCACGTCAGAGTCGGCAGTATCTATGTTGCCGGGGACTAGCAGTTGGCCTCCTAGTCGACATGCCTCAAACTCCAGAAAATCGGCGTAGGCTTCATCTAGGATGGATGCCGGGAGAGAACCTTTGTCAAACTGGAGTGACTCAACCCATGGAACAGTGTTAGGGTTCACACTGACCGCAGCAAGGAACTGATTGAGAATAAAGACTGTGGGGAGATGTGGGGGCCCAGAGGCCTGCTTCATTTCTTTGAGAGCTCGTTGCCAGGCTTGCACAAATGCGTCGGGTGACTTTGAGGAATAGTACACCGTGTGAATCCAGTTCATGAATTTACGATAAGCAACAAGGCCATCGCCGGAATTTTCCTCTGGAATCTCAACAGGTTCGCTGGGGAAGGAGGCTTCCATGAAAGGATTCGGGTTGGTATAAGCAAAGTTCAAAGGAGGCGGGGCAAAGAATTGAGAGTAAGGAAGCAAAGCACCCATCATTGGCGGGCCACATGAGGGATGACCCAGCGGAGTAGGGCTAAGCAAAACAGGGTAAATTGGCGGCGGTCCGCAGGGGCTGTAAGCAACATGACTAGGCTCCACGGATGGAGAATCAAAGTACTCAAGGTCAAACTGAGCTGGAGCTGGAGCCGGAGCCGGATGGATTGGAGTCAGGCCCAAGTAAGCGGGCTCGCTCTCAAATGCAGGTGCGGGATCTCCTGGATCGGAAACATGCATTTTGACTTCAGTGGGTGTATTTGTGCATGAATTGGTCTTGATATTGTCTGCACTTCAAGGGACTTCGTCTCATGTATGACAGAGTAAATACCAGCAGCCGATGAAGGTAGATTGAATGGCTTGAGTCGTCGGAAAGTTGTAAGTTGTGCGAGTAGATGTAAAGAAGTTATCAAATATAAGTCGGACAATCGAATATATGCTTCATTAACGCGCGTAGATAGAAAGTTATTAATGCATCTAGGTAGACGCACAACCGGGTTATAAGCTTAGTGAATGTGGTGTTGGGGTGATGGCAAGGGATAGTTGGTTTTTGATGTCAAGTCCGCTTTTGTATACAGGAACATCAGTCTGGTATAAATCGACTTTACCTGGGCAAGAAAGTGCCCAGATGAAGGTATTTGATTATTAACCCACTAAATTTATGTAGACTAGATATCCTAAGAGCTCTGATGAACAAAGGTGACTGTAGGAAAGCCTCTAAGATATAACAATGGCAACGAAAAGTACAATTCTAGCAGTATAATTTAAAGTGAAGTGAGATGAATCTTAGATAATTCCATTGTGGTATGAAAAAAAGAAACTCCAACACAATTGGATTACCTGAACAATCTTAGTTTTTTTCAAGAAAACTTGACCAGATACCTGAACTCTGATGCGTCTTTCTCAATACTGTTGAGAGGAAAGTGATATGTTATCATATTACCTCCGCTTGCTCCCTGGGCAAACTCAATCCTGAGATCAAAGAAGACGGTGCTATCAATGTTGACTAGCAAACAAAGCCATCTTCATTTTATATCTTGTCTATTTCATTTTCGTATGGGCCAACTTTAATATACCTTTTACTCCCTATGCTCATTTAAAAATTAGCCGATGCCGAGCGAGAGTTAGATTCTCTTTGTTCCTCCCCTTTAAAAAAGAAACTGGGAGACTAGGGACTCTCTTCCTGTGGAAATTAGTCAAATCCATGGCGCTAATGCCCAGGCTTTGATCGAAATATTCAAAAGCGGCGAATCAGGGCCGACCCTATAATACCCCCTCAGATCCGGCAATTACGCATAGGAAGATGGCCGGATATCCCCAGATTTTAAGCTATGCTTATAGCGATATTTCAATGGATATAATTTTGATACAAATGATAATCCTAGGAAGCAATGCCGGCAGATCTCCCAGCAGTGTGTATTTTGGGCAAACAAATATCGTACAATCCTACATTATGTCTGTCGATAAGAGAATCATAGGTATGGCCCTCTTAGGCTCCATCTAATAACTCGGATAAGTTCGCACCAATTGTGTGGGAATATCAAGATGAGATAATAAATCTAGATCTATTAATTCGACCCAGACCTTTTATGTGTACAAATGCAGCTATCGAATCCCCGAGCCATGGTTCACAACATGGCTCGGTGATTGAGCTAAAAGAGCCGTTCAGCCAGTAGTTGGCCCAGGCACGTCAATTTGGCACTGGGTCCGAGGGCTGAAAGGGGAAAGTTGAAAACCAGGTTCCGAGCAATGACTTTGGTGGAAAAAAGAGCTATTACGTGTGTTAGTACCTATTTCTGCAGGAGCTTTCAGTGTGACTTGAATGCCCAGCATCCAATTATACTTCGTAAACCTCGGCATTGGTTGGCATCTTGGCTCTAATATAAAGCCGAGTTATGCGACCCGCATCTGGCAGCTGCAGGCATCTAACTATAACCACGAGCTGATCGGCAAGAATCAATACCAATGAATTTCCGTATGACTTCTAGAAGTATTCTGGGTAATTCTGGATCAAACTACTCCGTAAATTGCAAGGTTTCATTTGCAAATAGAGTCCATGGTTCATCGTAAAAATCGTAAAATGAACTAGTCAACCGGACTAAGCTCGGAAAATATTTAGGGCAATCAGAGATCCAGTGACCGAATACAAAAACGCAATTATAGATAGTAGAAATGGAAAATTGGATAATCCAATATCCAAATCTAACCATTCAACCTCAAACAGCACTGGAGCTGTTCCAAAGAATTCCACAAAGCCACATGGGAAAGAACGATGGGGGTGGAACCCGCCGTGATCTGATAGCCACCCATTTTGGCACGTTCCACATCCACCCCCCCTCCACATTATGATGCTACTCCGATCACATTGGATTTCTATTTCTTGATATCACAATATTATAGGGTTGAGGGGAGTATATGTACTTTTCTGCCCGATACAATTCCACGGTCAAACATGCCACTTTTGTTCCTGGCCGATCTTTTTCTGACGGGATCCGCCCGATCGTCGTACCCTCACTACGTTACCTATCCCACCTTAGCTCTATAAGATACCCTCCAAAGTCGGAATGAACTCTTTCTCTCCTCGAGATTTCCAGGAGTGGGTAGATCGACGCCAAAGCACCCAGTCCGCCTCCACCGTGTCGTCTGCGTCAACGAGTATCCTCTTCCCGAGCCCTGCGACATCCCCAGGGTCCAGCTCGAGGAAGCAATCCTGGCAGCTCTACGACGATGTCGTGCGGCTCGAGCTGACTCCCTCTGTGCAAATGTTTGTTCTGAGAAAAAAAAAGATCGTTCAAGTAAGAATGCGCTGACTTATTAACAGTTCCTTTGTGAAAAGCGGCCAGCTATTCAAGCTGAAATACAAATTCATTGATATTTGCAAGGACTCAACGGGCGCATTGAGATGTCTCGAACTAGGTGGAGGACTAGGCCAGCAGACTCCTTTTGTCCATGGCTGTGAGTTTGTTTCGCATATCCCCCGAAAGATAATATACTGATCTTCAAATCATGTATAGTCTCCAATACAAAACTCCCTGTCCCTCACCTGGAGCATCCAAAATCAGGCAACGATTACCCTCTTCGCGTATCCTTTATGGACCAGCAAACTGTCCAATCGGCAAGCACAGTATTCATGACGCAATTATCATATAAATTTGATCATTGGGATGGTACGCGACCGATAACCCTTGGAGATTCAACGTTTGCTTACACTCGCAGATTGTGTACGATTTCAAGAACTCCTACTCGGATCCAAGCTGGTGTTTATTGGCGGTATGGCCGAGGCCAAGTCTAAAGGCCGGGGTGAAGAATGCATTAGCCAAAATCTTCGCGTCCTCCGCGGGCATAATGGCAAACGCGTCATGCTGTTCTTTGCTAACTCCCAACGGAGGGAGCTCAAACGATACGTTTCCATTCCCTGTAAGTTTTCGCTTCTATCTGGGCCCAGATCCCCTACCCCTGTCACGTTATCCTCGCTAATAGCCTGGCTAGTAAATTGCATCGCTTCAATTAAACCCCCGAAGAAGGCCGGGCGACCAGCCCTACTTGATTTGAATCCGAACTTCGATATCCTGTCTCAAATGAGAAATCTTACGATTCAGTTTCTTGACGACGATGGTCAGTGCACATTTAAGTTTCGCTCATTTCGGACTATTGGCTTATTCTTCTCTTTCTTTTCTAGACTGCGCAGCATTTTGTCAGATGTTGTCGTACGACCTGACGATTGGATGAATAGTTCACGAGGATAGATGCATTATAAATCCCTCAAGTCTGTCATGAATTTTACATGGAGTTGGAGTTCCTGGATAAATTGGGGGCCAGATATGTATCATGTACATAATACCAAGATACCCCTGGGCGTTACATCTTTTTTGAGACAGAATTGCGTGCATGAAATACAGAGTAATTGAATAGAATTCAACTTTACGGAGTAGATTAATTAGAATAAAACATCTCATTTACCAAATCAAGATGTGAGAGATTTAATATAATAAAAAGCAAATAATATTAAACTCCAAGGTTCCAAGTGTCTCATAAAGGGATAAAGGGAACAATTCCTCGTGGTTGTCCGTTGCTTGTGGGTCCATCGGGTTGGACGTCGACAAGTCAAGCATAAGAGACGCCGCACGTGGAGAAAACAACCTCAAAGCTTTGGCTCGTTCCAAAAGGTCGCCGCTTAGTCCCGCATTAGCGCCTACAGGGATCACGGGCCTCATTGAACAGCCTCTGTAACCTTGACAAGGTTTACAAACCTTGCAAGCCCCGGGTATAATCTAAGTATCTTCTATTCTACGAAATGTAGTGACACTCAAATCTTCATTCTTTCAACTTTCAACTATTCAATATGGGCAAATTCCACGCCCGGTTATATAAAACCGACCGTGCGCGGGACTTCGACCATGAGCAGGTAAGTAGTTATTGTTGAACAAAATCCAAAATCCATGGATGGCCATGCAGGGTTGCTAATAGCTTTTGTGATAGGATCGATATGTCCGCATGCGACAGATCTACGAGACTATCGACAGGCAAGGCTTTCAATGGATTGTCGTGCTCGTCGCTGGTCTTGGGTTCTTCCTCGATGGTTACACAGTACGTTACCCCACCTTCCACGTGGAACATACCATTGGAATGTTGTATTCGACGCATATACAACATCTGCTAATACTTGACATAGTTATTCGCCAGTAACATGGCCCTACCGATGATCTCTTACGTGTACTGGAGAGACGACACTTCCTCATTACGACTCACATGCATCAACATCGCGACACTTGGAGGAACCCTGCTGGGGCAAGTGACATTTGGATTTCTAGCCGATAAGAATGGGCGGAAGAAGATGTACGGTGTTGAATTGGTACTCCTTATTACAGCCACCCTGGGGGTGGTCATGTCCTCGACAGGAGTGGACGGCAGCATGAACGTCTTTGCATGGCTTATTTGGTGGAGAATCTGTGTCGGTATCGGAGTTGGCGCAGATTATCCACTCAGTGCAGTGATCACGTCTGAGTAGGTCGATCGATCTCGAAATCTGCAATCGTGGAGAAACTGACCTTGGAATGTCCAGATTTGCCCCTACCAAACATCGCGCCCGTATGATGGCCACCGTCTTCTTCATGCAACCACTCGGTCAGATCGCAGGTAACATTGTCTCATTGATTGTGATCGCGATAGCTCGTGGTAATAGCAGTCCCGGTGAAGACATCACCCGCTCTGTTGATATAATGTGGCGCTGGGTGATCGCCATCGGAGTTGTGCCCGGTGCAGTCGCTACTCTTTTCCGGTTCGCCATCCCAGAGAGCCCTCGTTACCTAGTCGATATCGTGGACGATCCTGTCACCGCGGAGTTTGATGCAACCACGCTTTTCAGTGACACGCCCGGTATGATTGATTCTGTGAGCTGGGGAACTACTGCGACATGCAGTGCCGGCAGCGCGATTCAGCTACCCCCGATTTCATCCATTGCTAGCCATTCGACCTTTGATCACGAGGACGATGATGAGTACACCCGCCTACCCCCCGCTACCCTCAATTCTCACTGGCGGTTGGCACGTACCGATATCACGCGGTACTTCTGGACAGAAGGGAACTGGCGCAGCTTGGCTGGTTGCTCTCTCGCCTGGCTCCTTCTCGACTTTGGCTTCTACGGTATCGGATTGTCGAGCCCTCAATTCTTAGCAAAGACGTGGGGCCAACTTAGAATATCCGCAGCGTCACCGACCTGGATGACCGACGATGCACCAGATGCCAATATCTACACGATGTTCATGGAAACCTCTGTGCGCGGGCTAATTATCCTCAATATCGGAAGTTTTGTCGGCGGCATACTGCTCATTATTTTTGCCCATAAGCTGGATCGTGTTGCACTGCAAAAGTACATGTTCCTCGCACTGGCGGCTCTGTTTATCGCCCTAGGAACCATGTTCATCTGTTTTTACACCGGGCCTCCCGCTGTGGTGGCGTTGTATATTGTTGGTCAAATCATGTTCAACTTTGGTGAGTCGAACCCAAGATACAACGCATAAAATAACTCTAACCAACTACCCACAGGCCCCAATGCAACAACCTATATGATCCCCGCCGAAATCTTCCCAACCCGATACCGCGCAACATGTCACGGCATCAGTGCTGGAGCCGGAAAGCTTGGCTCTATTCTCGTACAAATCTTCTCAACATACTATCACTTTGGTTCAGGCCCGGGCAACACATCAACCCGCAGGCACGGCATTGTTCTCATTGTTTTCAGCGCCTGCATGGTCCTTGGAGCAGCAGTGACGCACTTCTGGATTCCACCTGTTCAACAGAAACAGAACGGCAAAACTAAGCTTTGGGGTGGTAAGCCCGAGACTCTTGAAAGCATGTCTCTTGGCCGAATGGGCCGCAAGAGTCGAGATGCCGATTGTCGGAAACGGACATCACGGCATCGGGCGCTTTCAATGAGCGCCTAGGCATTGCTACTTTCCATGTCTATCTTTAACTACTATTCTTTTGTATATACTTTTTCTAACCTCTTTTACTTGCATTTGGGACGGCTACATCAATATAAATCAACATCTACATTCAATCCACTGAAATTAACTTTATAAATAAATTCACAATCCAAACTCAAGAGCAGTCACCATCAAGCAACCGCCCCGTAGCCACCTCATCAAGATAAAGTGCAACATCCATCCCCCCATCCCCAACCGCACTATCCATCACCTGAACACACCCATCCATTTTAGGCATAACAGCGTGCACATAGCGTGGCTTATTTCCGCCCATAAAGTCAACCTCATACAACTGCAGCCGCAACCACGAGGTGACAATCGTATGCTCAGACCCCAAAAAGCCCTGCCACAGTCGCTGGGGCGACACCTCATGCGCAGCATCATGCAACATCGCACCCACAGCATCAGCCGTGAACCCCTTCATCGTCGCTCGGATCCGACTAGCCGTCTCGCCTAATATTTCCCGACATACCGAGGAACCGGTCCCACCAACATGAGTCAGGAAGAGGAGCGATCCGATAAACGTATCAGGAAGAGCGGGGGAAACACGCGGTCGGACGCCGAGGCTCAAATTCATATATATGGGTCTTGCAGAGCCTGCCTGTCCGCGTGATCTCGTAATGGTTACCCACAGGTGCGCGAGTAGAGCGTCCAGTCTAGAGATATCACTTCGACTCCCTGTCTTACGGGCTACAGCTTGGAATTTGCTCAGCTCTTCTCCTGTGAAGTGCAACTGTGTGTATCTAACTTTTTTCGAGAAATCCCATGAAGCCCAAGGTGCTGGTTCTGAAGGCGAGACGCGTTTATAATCGATTTCTGCGGGCGGCGGCTTGGAGTTCTCAGTCGTCGGTATTAAGAATCCCGGGCCACCCTCATCGGCGGAATTCCACCAGCTATACCGATGCAAGGGCAATTTCCGCGCGGTGTCCACTATGGTTTGGTCTGGCTCGGGGCTATCGATATCGCCCGCGGCGCAGCTGTCCAACAACGCGGGAGCGAATACGGGGTCACCCATTAGTGGGGATTCGGGCTGGGTTCCGAATTGGGCTTTGCTGTTATACGCCCATAGATGCACGAACACCATTAAGGTCTGTGCATCTGCTAGACAGTGCGCCATCTTGATTCCGATTACGTAGCCTCCTTGAAGAAGACTGATTTGAACTTGCATTCCTGGCAGACCAGCATGGTCGCGCAGATTGGCTAGTGCCAGTGGGTTGGATGATAGGAACAGGCTTTCGTTAAAGTCATCGCCTACCCATGCTCCAGGTTGAGAGCCGGTGGTCGATGAGGCCCGTTCCTCCGCTGTGGGGACAATTTCATCTGCTCGCAAGGGATGTTCGATTACTGTCCATTCAACACCAGGGTCGGTATCAGTTCCGTATACAACCAATGGACGATTAAATCGTTCTGTGTGGTTTCCTTTGGGGTTGACGGGTGCCCATTGGAGTTGGCCTGCCCATTGAGGGAATTTTGATAGGGTTTCAATGAAGGAAGATCGCAGATGGTCGATCAAGGTCTTTTTAATTAAGTCTGCAGGTTGGTTGAAAATCCAAATTGCTCCTGTTGGAGCAAAGCGCACGACTGTTGCGTCGAGGATAGATAGGGGCGTTGATGTCGGTGTTGGCTGGTTGGCTGGTCGCAGCCTTGTGGATTCGATGGTGGTCATGTTATGTTGTATTTCCACGTAAATGTTGTTCAATGGCTGTGATTTTTAGATCAATCTCATTCATTTTATCTTTCTGGATTCATGAGTCAATATGCGTCACGGTATGTCAGTGTGCATCAGCCCCACGCTAAGCTTCTAGTTAGTTGAAACTAGCACAAAAGAAGACCCCGATGATTCAAGACTGGGGCCACATCTTTATCTCAGATAAGGTAAAGTGGGCTGAATATGTACGACATACACGGAAGGACTAAGAATTGGGTACGGCTTGAATTTTGTAAGGCTCGATATTACGCATCTCAACTTTTTGGGAGCCTCAGGCACAAGTGGGGAATCTCGAAGAATCATATTGCTATCCAAGTGTCCAGTCACATTTAATTCACCAGTCTCGCCATTACCCAGTGAAAATGATTCTACCAGATTTATCAGACGACTTGCTACTAACGGCAGCAGGCCATCTCAAATCAGAGGCGGATGTATATGCTTTTGCTCAAACAATGACCACCATATCTAACCTCCTTATTCCTCACCTTTATCGAGTCGATGCGAAACGACCTCAAAGCACGGCATTGTTCTGGACTGCAGCATATAGGGGAGATAGACTCTGAACAAAAGGGGTCAAACACCAATGCATCTGGCGGCATATTGCGGTCATGATGGGGTGACTAGACTCCTTCTTGCTATGCCCAATGTCAACCCGAACTACAAGGACTCATACCGCCAGGGACCTCTGATGAGGACGATTAAGCAGGGGAATAAGAGTACCATCAACCTGCTTCTCGCTCAAGACGGTATCGATCCGATGTGCAGAGGCCAACGAGGCCTCGCGCCGCTTTTGCGCTAGCAGTGCAGCACAGAGAAGTCGATATAATGAAGATATTACTTACTGTAGAAGGGGTCAATACAGAGATTATCGACAATCAGGGGATGTCTCCATTAGCTTGGGCGGTAATGAGAGACAATGACAATGAGGAAGTAGTCAAACTACTATTCGCCATACCTGGTTTCAATGCGAACAGGCAAGATCGCGATGGCTAAACGCCACTGCGGTAAGCAATCGAACCCGCGAGTGAGGCCGTTCTCAGGTTGATCGTTGCTAGGGACAAATCCGACCTAGATCGGCCGAACTTCGACGATGACCAGACGGCTTTGTCATTTGCCGCCAAAAGTGGAAATGTGACAGCGGTCTGGGTGATCCTTGCCACCGGGGTTGATCCAAATCCCAAAGACTGTCAAGGACTCACGCTATTGTCATGGGCTCTGGTTAAGAGACGTGAAGGCGTAGTCAGGCTGTTGCTTGCTGTTGAGGCAGTCGATCCAAACTCCTGCGATAAATATGGGCACATTCCACTATCATGGGCAGGAGATAACCAAAACCTCGTGATATTGAGGATTCTATTAAATTATTCCAAAAGACGGGAATAAAGCGAAGAGAATGAAGACCCAGGAGGAGTGGGCTGGAGATAGTGAAGATCATTAGACTCTAGCCCGAGGTCTATAATTGGTTTCCCCACCAGCTATAGTCACCTGCTATAGTTACTAGAGTGCACTTAAATGAGTAAAATTATTTAGGAGATTCCAATATCAAAACTGTCCCCAAGTGGTGGGGTTCCCTCAATCAATTTCATTAGCTAGAGACACGGAATTTGGGCTCATTGGTGGCTCTAGCCAACCACAACGCCTTGCTTCATATACAATAAAACAATATGGTACAGTTATGGATATTCCACTCATAAACCCCTCCAACCAGAAATCCAGCCATGTTAAAAAGAAAAAGAGCGATGACGGTACAAAACAAATCCGCTTCCTTCAACAACCCTTGTCATGATGCATTGGGGCGTTTCAGCGGGTGCCCTCCAGCATTGAAAACAAAATCATCCAAACTGATTAGGTCTGGGGAGCTGAACATGAGATAGAAATGTTTAAGTGTCTGCGACATCCACATACTGTCCATCGAGTCTTTGAGAGTCAGTTCACTGCCCTCATCCGTGACAGCAACGATAGCGGCGTTGCCATTCTTCGTCTTTGTCGCGATTTGCATTGCTTGGAACATATCCCAAGCTGCATCGAGTAGATCCTCACATCCACTGATGCGGTAAAGAGTAAACATGCTCTCGATCGCTTCCGGGCGCAAGTTGTAGGAAGTGTCCGAGATTCTCAGGAACCCTTTGGGCAGACGGTGGTCTTTGATGAAAGTATCGACGTTAAGATCTGGATTTGGTTCTGGCTCGAGGCTATTCGCTTTTTTCCAGACCTCTTGCTTCCAAAGCCACTCGCTCCAAGGGCAGTTGGTCTGCGACGCACATGGAACCACATCAAATGCTTCGGGCATAATTCCCAGAGGTACGACCTGGTGAGCCCAAATGCATCCATCGACTAATTTATGCGCGATTTCTTGGTGGCTGGGGATGTTGAGTAGTGCGCCTCCTAGAGCAAACATGCCCCCCGCAAAACAAGATTGGTACTGCATTTGTGACTCTAGGTATGTTTGCGATTTCCCACTCTCTGTAATAGCCACTCGAACAGTTCCAGAAAGGAGCACGTCCTTGCCCTCGGTGTTCATTGGTCGAAATAAATTGTGGCCTGCGGCTGTTAACGTAGCATTCTCATACATCTTGCGATACATGGGCACTTGGCCTCCTAGCAAAGCGTATGCCCGGGGTAACGACTTGTACAAGGAGCTTGCTTCGGCGCCCAATGTGAAGATATCATCGTCGAAATGCCGTTCTTTGGCATTCACGGAGACAGGCCATAGACCTGCGAGTTTTGTGGCATCCTGTTCCTTGTCCAACAATTCCATGACTCGTTGAGCCGCGTCAAAGTATTTTGGGTCACCAGTAATCTGAGACAACCTTGTGAATTCCAATATGAACGAGCCTAGTTCTGCACCAAGTACAACATAGAAAACCCCTGTGATCAAAATAGAATCAGGTCAAGCTGTCGGCCTGAATAGACCGATCCTGGTCCGATAGTTGCTGTAAATTTGGCTCCAAACAGAGATTAGGGCCATTTGCCTTTTATAGGAGTATTCCATACAACACACATAATTTTGTTTTTTGTCAGAAGACATAGATTCCGATCATGTCAAAGCTTTGGTTGACATGAACTACCCTCGCATCCATAGCCTGGAGTATTCTTGGTTGCCAGTCTGAACGACTTCTAGGGAAAGGGCATATTATTCTTGGAGGTATGCTTGCGCATCCTCGACTGCTATCGCAAGAATAAACCCAATGACATGGAAAAGCATAAATTTATTTTGTTAGTGACATAACAAACACCCTTGGATGCGATGTTGATACAATCTACCATTATATTGCTACAGCAAACATACTTGTTGCATTGATGGTAAGGTCAGATACCCCGGCTAATCCTACAGTGAGGTCCCGAGATAGTATATCCTGTCGAAGACAGAGAGCCTGAAATGCGGCTTCTTCCTCGGTAAGAAGCTCACCGATGAAAGCCAATGCAAGGGGATGCCCCGAGGTAGAGGTACCAGGCGTGGTATTCAAGTCTGGCTGGGCGCCAGTGAAGGCTGATCAACCTCATCAGCACACTTGCCCAACAACCCATTCTTAGGTAATATTATAGAACTGTGTGGTCATATTTAACAAAACAACAAAACATACCGTTCTTCTTCTTCTTCTTCTTCTTCTTCTTCTTCTTCTTCTTCTTCTTCTTATGAGTTCACGTCCAGGATCAACAATTTGTCTCGGTATGGAGGATTTGTCTGTGTGGATCTTACGCGCTGGGCCGTGGACAGGCGACTCGAGATTCCCAGTCCGGTCAGGACATCACAGTTGGTCAGGTTGTGGCTATGGATGCGGCGGTATGTGCAAAAAAGCTAACACATTTCGTGTATATTCCAATACAGGCACTCAGGGTAGGACTTTCCAATTCTTGTCATATTCCATTGGAGGCTTATCCACATCTTTCAGCGTCTCCTTGATGATCATTGTGGGTATATTGATACTGCTCTAGCTGGGGGCTCATCAATTCGGAACATATAGGTCGTATCATAATGTTAAATCGATGATTTAAGAGAGAGTAAATAAATATCTGATCAAGTATAATTAGAAAACACGACCACTTCTATAGAACCAGGGAGGTTCATGGGAGAACTTACCCGTTTGGATTTAAACACATGGAAGGGGAGATATGAATTGGTTACAGGTTGAATTGGACTTCTGTGCACGGAATTGAACGGGAAAACAATACAAATAAAAAAGAATAATTGACCCTGGACCTAACTAAAGACAAAAAAAATAAAAGGACAAAAAAAGAAACCGTTGTGCATCATCCGTGAATCGAACACGGGCCTCGTCGATGGCAACGACGAATTCTACCACTAGACCAATGATGCTAGTTGATGTAAGTTGGCCCACTATTATACAACTTATCCCTAATGGAACATATTTCCAATTCCTAGGCAACAAAAGCAATCATTTAACTTTCCCAGCTAAAATACCTGGATATTTAATACCTATTTTTAGGAAATTAATGGTCAATGGAAATAAGAGCCTCTTCGACTTTCTGAAATAACAATTTGGTGATCAAATAATATATTGGGACATCACATTATTTATCAAGCAAAGAGCTTCGGTTGTATATATATTTCACACGGCTCGGCGTCATACTAGGTAGTAGTTGCACACAACGGCGAATATTATCTATAGGAAAAAACTGGCATTAGTCATACATGTCACACCGGGAGCTGATTTCATTTGTTTAAATACTCTGGGATAATCCCAAGTCGATATTTCCGTACTAAGTCGGCTTTTCGGTCCGATCTTAAAGCAACCAAATTGTATACACCAACCGAGATCTATAGTAATGAAATGCTACCCAAAGAGAGCTAAGAAGTATTATAAATATGTGGTAGACCACCGAAGTGAAGATTTGATAAATGGTGCCTGGTATAGATTAAGACCCCGGGAATGGCATGGGGTAGACTAGAACTAGGGCGGAGCTAGCCCCGCCTTCTGCAGTTTCCTACATCCACATGGGCACTGGGACTTTCTGTGTTGCCAGACCAAATGCGGGGGTGCCCAAGGGCAAACAAAATAAGAAGTGAGGGGTTGTTCTCCATTGCATTTTTTTACTTCGTGTCAGTTCCCAATACCCTCAATTGCAAATCAAATCACCAAAATCAACATGAGGAATCCCAATGATCTATCGCCATCGCGAGAGCGAGTTGTGCCAGGTTCCTGCAACATCGAACTCGGCCAATTCCCAAAGACTATGTCGGAATCCGAGTCGGATCTTCCTCTTGACCCGAACGCTATTGCGGACAATATTATCAACCAGCTAAACCTGGGTCTCTCAACCAGAGATAAGGCAGCAATTGCATCACTGTTCCTCAAAAATTGCTACTGGCGTGACCACTTGTGTTATTCGTGGGACTTCCACACCGTAGAAGGGAGTCAAGCTATTGCTGCCTTTGTCACGGAGGCACCATCCAGCAAAATTGAAATCGACCGGTCGACTGACTTCAAATCCCCACACAAGGCTCCTATTGACTCCTTTGGTGATGTTTTCGGAATCGAATTTTACATCAAGGTCACCACCGAGAATGGACGGGGAAATGGTATCATGCGATTGGCGGAACATGATGGCAAGTGGTACATTTTCACGGTCTTCACCTCTATGATCGAGTTAAAGGGCCACGAGGAGAACAAGGAGAGACCGTTTGGTGTCCGACATGGCGAGCAGCAAGGTCGAAAGAACTGGAAAGATCGACGTATTGATGAGGTCAATTTCGAGGGCAAGGACCCGGCAGTATTGATCATTGGTAGGTCCCGATGAAACCTTTAATTTCGAAGCATGAAGATTGACTTTAATGAAGGTGCTGGCCAGGGTGGTTTGACTGCTGCAGCGCGTCTTAAGATGCTTCAGGTTGACACCCTCATTGTCGACCGAGAAGAGAGAATCGGAGATAACTGGCGCCGGCGATACCACCAGCTTGTTCTACACGATCCAGTGTGGTACGACCACATGCCCTACCTACCCTTCCCGCCGGACTGGCCCATCTATACACCAAAGGATAAGCTTGCGGATTTCTTCGAAACCTACGTGAAGTTCCGAGAGCTCAATGTTTGGACCCAAACCGAGCTCAAATCGTCATCCTGGGATGAGAAGAAGAAGCAATGGACGGTTGTTCTTGAGCGCAAGACAGAAAGTGGAACTGAGACGCGCACCTTGCACCCACGTCACATCATTCAAGCTACTGGCCACTCCGGCAAGAAAAACCTGCCCACTTTCAAAGGAATGGAAGATTTCAAGGGAGATCGCATGTGTCACAGCTCGGAATACCCTGGCGCGAATTCCGAGTCAAAGGGGAAAAAGGCCATTGTCGTTGGATCTTGCAATTCGGCAAACGATATCGCCCAGGACTTTGTCGAGAAAGGGTACGATGTGACCATGGTGCAGCGAAGCTCCACCTGTGTGGTTTCTTCTGACTCTACCTTGAAAATTGCCTTTAAGGGGCTGTATGATGCGACCGGTCCTCCAACCGAAGATGCTGATATTTATCTATCGAGCATTCCATTGCGTCTTTTCAAAGCGCAACAGGTCAAAGTCACCAAGCTCACGAATCAGAACGACGCAAAGACCATTGAAGGGCTGGAAAAGGCAGGCTTCAAGGTCGACAGCGGGCCATCGGACAGCGGTCTCCTGATGAAGTACTTCCAGCGTGGAGGAGGGTACTACATTGACGTCGGTGGAAGTCAGCTTATTATCGATGGGAAGGTTAAGGTAAAGCATGGCCAGGAGATTAGCCAAGTTCTTCCACATGGCCTCCGGTTTGCGGATGGTTCAGAGCTTGAAGCCGACGAAATCGTATTCGCCACTGGGTACCAGAATATGAGGACCGAGACTCGTGTAATCTTTGGCGACAAAGTCGCTGATCGGGTTGGTGATATCTGGGGACTTGACAAAGAGGGTGAAATGCGGACTATCTGGCGGCGGAGTGGTCACCCTGGATTCTGGTTTATGGGTGGGAACCTTGCTCTGAGCAGATACTACTCGCGTTTGCTGGCATTGCAGATCAAAGCGCTGGAAGAGGGGTTGACTACTTGGTAGTTGCCTAGTTGCTGAGAAGTGGGGCTTGACGTTTGCCATGGGATCAGCCAAAAGAAGAATACTGTCAGCCTATGTATGTCTATTCGTGGCTGTAACCTGTCTGTGACAGCAAATTTTATATTATTACCACTACTAGCCCAAGTGATTTCATATACATCGTCTAGGATTCTATAGAATTTCGATTGGACACGGAAACGTAGTCAATTGGGGAAAATATTCAAAGTATAACCTAGAAACTGCTCAAGGTATATGCATGTTTTCCCCCAGGCGATTAAAAACAATTAACTCAACCACCCTTCCCGAGAAGCCACGGTGACGCCCAGCGTCAACACAAGATTGTACAACCAAGTGTCCAAATCCGCGGGGCCCTCAGAAACAGGCTCCGTCAACACCATACAAGTCCGAAGATGATCCAAGATCGAACTCTTCCTCACAGAAATCTCGAACCCAGCCCGAGTCATCGTAGCAATGCGACTCTTCCGACGCGCCTTGCGATCAATCGCCATCAAAACAAATTGTTCGGTATCCGAAGCTGCATTTCCATTCGCAGGGAGCATCCGTTTCTCCCACTGCATAATCATGCGGGACTGCTCGGGGTCGGTTGTGTTATCTTCCTTTCTAATGATGAATCTGTAACACGTGCCTTTCTCAGGACCTGCTGAGCTGGGGCTGGCTTTCCAGATGCATTTTGTTTCGCGGAAGTGGATTGATGATAATGTGGGGTTGTGGCTGGTTGATGGTTCGCACATTGCAGCGATGATATCCTTTTCCTGGATACTGTATGATTGGGTATCTTTTTCTTGGGAATGTTGAATTTCTGGTTGTTTATTGGTGATATATAGCTCATTGAGGGTTGCGTAGATATCCCTCGTGCCAAGCTTTGGGCGTTGTGGGAAACCCCTGGTCAATTTTGACTTGCGAAGAGGTGGCTGCCATATCTCTAGTACAGGTAATGGTCGGTGGTTTGGAAGTAATTGTTGGATTTGAAGGAGTAGTTTGGGGCTGAGTCGAAGTAGTGAATTTGATTTTGGGGGCGGCCGGGCCATTTGGAACTTGGCTTGGATTTTGGTGTTCGTGGGTGACGATGGCCTGGAGATGAATTAGTCGTGATTCTCAGTAGAATGGTAGAATGGAAGAATTGATGGGGGTTATTCCCATAAGTATTCTTTTTACATACCGTTCTTCGCTTGTTGTGTCGCTATCATAGCTTTGCATAGTATCTGGGGACTCTAAGGGAAAGTCCATACTGCCGTATTTCCAGAGTTAAGGGTCAACAGACACAGGAAGAATATAAAAAGAGACAGGGAGTGAAGAGCTGAGCGATGAGACCTGAAAGCTAAAAAGTCTCCAAGGAAGACCTTAGTATAAATACATGTAACTAGTCAGCCTTGGCCCTACCCGCCGTACTCGTATCAACGTGCACGACCCTGAAAAATGGGGTGGATCCTGCAAATTTGGTAAATCTGGACACTAGTACGAGTACGGGAGCCTTATGTTTAAAGAGACTATTTTGGGTGCCTAGGACACTTGATATATAGTGCTTCATATACGGACACGAACCGATACGAAATGTCAACCTGCATGATGTGTTGGGAACTCTGCTAGGCATCTACAATTCCTTTTTGCGAGCCCCTAGGCTCTCCAAATAAATAGGTTTTAAAGCTTATGAACCTTCACTGCAAACTCCATACTACATTCGGAATGGATCGACAGCCGTTTTAATCTTCATGGAGATTTCCAAGCCGAGCGCCCGACTGGTCGGGCAATCTTCAATAATTCACAGCCTCAACTTCTTTCTCACACACAGCCACCCCAATGAGATCCCTGCTCAAATGTAAATGACCCCACGAAACATGATGAAGTGTTCAAAGTTTATCTGAAGCTTGCTGAACGCAAAATACTCCTATAAAATATTCAAAAGACGGTCACTAGTAGCCACGGAAGCCGGGCCTGACGGTCTCCGACTCGATGATATCAGCGGAAGCTCGGACCTCGGGACCTCACGGCCGAGTTATGCGTAGCATCATTTATAATAATGCAGACCCTCAGGGTCGTGTGATTGAAGATATGTGGAGCTAAATATGCTTTTTGCGCATATGGCATATCTTGCGAGATTCGGGAACCCGAGCCGAGGCACTGGTATGTTTCACGGTTCTTTCATTGCCCCAGGCCGTCGGTCATTATATATTGCCGCAGGCCGTCGGTCACTATATCGTTTTCTCCATCCGTGATCCAGGCCCAAGACTCGCCCTGTAACTATGCCCTTCAGTGTCAGAATCTGTATGATGACCCACATGAGTACGAGGAACAGCAAAAGGGCAGTGGAGAACACATCGAAGGCAGGAGAATCCATAAGCCTTCCAAATTCAACGGCAGCATTGGTAAAAGTACCCTGGAGAAATCGAATGTCAGAAAACCCCCAGAAAACCCAGAAAAACCAGCCTACTTACCCACGGAAATACCACAGACCACACCGACATCGTGAACCGTGACTGCTTCCAGCCCCCAGGTTGTGTGTGCAGAGTATAACAAATAGTCAGGATGGCAAAAAACCACCAAAAGACCCCATACCCCCAGACAAGAAGACCGATGAAATGGCTGATAAAAGCAAAAGGACTAGCCGCCTTCTCAGTCAGAAGCTGACCGCGATCATACGCCGCAAAGCTACCAGCCTGAATAGCCTCACCCAAAGCCTGGAGCGCGACCGAAGCCTGTCCGCAAGGGCCGCACATGATCATATCCTGGTACACCATGTCCGCTGTCTGGGATGTGCGACGAAAGTACTGCAAGAGTATAATGGTATCGAACGCAGCCACGAGGGCAAGGCCGGCCCCTATTTCGAGATAGGAGATGATGATGGCAGGGACCTGGAGGCGGGGGCTGATATCTGCGAGGCGACATATAACCCCGCCGCCTGCGGCCGATGTCAACGCTGCAAGGAATGGCATCAGCATGTCGGCCTGCATGTGTCGCGTGTCTGACTGCTGCATCTTGAGGTGGATGAATGGGATCACCATACAGGCGACTATGGCCATGCCGGTGTTTATCCACCACATGACGTAGATGGCCAACCCGGCTGTGTCTCCGTATTGGAAGACAGCCATCTGGAGGATGGATGTGAAGGCGATGGAGATGCAGCAGAGACATGATGTTTCGGCGCTGTTGTTTCGTAGCTGGTGTAGGACGTGTTTTGTGTGTAGGAATGTGCGTAAGAGATAGAGGACGAGGAATAGACCAAGCTGGACGATTGTGTAGATCCATACGATCGTGGCGAGGGTTGTTAGCCCGTTGAATTGGTATTTCAGTCGATAGAGTATCACCGCTATTATGCCCGTTCCTTGCGGGACGATGAACCACAGCGACGAGAAATTCCACAGGGCGCGAGACAGCGGACCCGCTGGTGGAGGGAGATCTCCCTCATCTGACATGTGTGGTTTTGTGCGCTTCGCCCCCAATTGGAGTGGAATATTGATCTGACCATGTCTTATGGTGAATTCGAGGAGATCTAGCTAATTAGGTTCGGTTAGTCTTGACGTCATCCATCCCAAGCTGAAGCTGGGAGCTATCTTCAGATCAGGAAATTGCTTCATTTTGTTTAGATAAAAAAATTTGGTTTTTGGATTTGATTGGAGCAATACTAATGTCAGATACAGATGTAAGCAAATCGGCTGCAAGGCAATAATTCGAGATGAGTTGCGCGCAATTCCTGGGCCACCTCATACCATAAAAAATCATAATTTGAAAAATTGTCCAAACCATCATGGCCGACCGAATCAGAATACTCCTCCGAAGCATATGACTAGTTCCCTGAAACCAGGAGAACCCATTCACATCTCAGTGCTTTTCTCCCAAGAACCTGTCACCGCTGTAACCCCGTGTAACGCCAGTTTCCCCTTGTGTAACGCCCGTGTTCATTCCGGCAAATATCCATGTAATTCGTGAGAAGCGTGAGAAAAGAGAAAAGAAAAGGAAGTTACGCGCTGCTCTCTGTGTCTTTTGGGTAGGCGTTGGTGTCTTCGGTGTAAGTGTGGGGGCGATAGTAGCCCGGTAAGCCCGGCCCCGCTGGAGGATCTAATCAATGAAAGTCAGCGAGATGATTCAGATCAAGGAATTACAGGAACATACAACGCGACTCCAGATCTCTTTCACCCCATGATAACTGCCTCAGATTGTTGAATCCTCGAGCTCGCACGTCAGCCATGTAGAGCTTCTGCTCGTAGCCCGGACTGAACGGGGTCTCTCCATCAGCGGGTTTGTAGTGCTTGAAGAGCGATGCTCCCAGTGCGGTTGCTGCGAGACATGCGGCGAGGACAATGACAATTATGGCTGCGTTGGAGAGCCCCATTGTGGATAGAGTAGAAAGGAAGCTTGAGTAAGATCGGGAAAATTGCAGTTGGTGTTGCGATGTCAGTTTGAATCGTAAGTGGTGCGGGGTCAGTGCATAGTGGAGGAGAGAGCCTCCGCGATGTGAGAACCGTAGATGCCTTGCGATTCCTTGCGATCCCAGACTAGCGTTGCGACAGATGAAACGAGAGATGAAGAAAGAGAGAGGGGAGATGAAAGAAAAAAAGAAAAACAAAAACAAAACAACTTCAAGCTTACAGATCCTGATACCTCAGATTTGAAACCTGATGTGTTGTCTCTATGGGCGACCATCCCATTGGCCATGTTTTTCCCAAGATTGACACATTCAGTGTTTGAACTACATCTGTATCCACCAATCATCATTACATGGATGTGTCGCATTTGATACCAAATGTCCAAAAATAGCACTGACGTGGCTTCGCTGTCGGGTCCATGGGTTTAGTTTGAAGCTTGTTATCGAGACTATGTAGATACATACATACGTGTATTTTATTAGTCAATTCAGGTGTACATGGCACTTTGGAGGAATAACATTTACAGATCACTACTTAAGTATGCGTCGGGAAGACAGAAAAAGGAAGAAAGCCCAATATCAAAGGAAACAAAAAAGTGAAAGAAGAGTGTCCCCGCAGGCAGCAGCCAAGGGCGAGTGGTTTTGCGCCGAAAATTTCTTTGGCACGGTAATTGGATCCATGAATCGTCTCGGTCAAAGTTAGTATCCACATCTCGGTCAAAGTGAAGATTATTGCAATATCTATACGGAGTACCTCCAAATTGAATACAACTTGAAAAGTCAGCTGATATTCTTCAAATATAGATCGCCAAGAGATATACCGCTTGTGAGGAACTTGACGATCAATCTTTATTCCCCTCATTCGGCTATATTAAGTCGATACAGGGTTGGATGGTTGATTCAAAGAATCGGAGGTAAACATTTTTTACACCGTTCAAAAGCTCAGGCCAATTTCGTGCTCTTATTGGTCCTACAAAAGGGATGTCTTCTACAGCATAAACTAGAATCTACGTTAGATTAACCTAAAATAAGTATCGTTTCGACTTGAAAACTGCTAGATTCATTCATATCTCAACTAGAACACTAGGTTAACACACCCTAATAACAATGTTAGTAATGTTCAATCAACTACCCCCAAAGAAAAAGAAAAACCCCAGCTGTTGAGAGTTAGTCAAGTTAATCAAGGTAACTTCTCATACATCCTCAATATCGAACCGAAGATTATATCCACACAAGTCTTCACCGGTATGGAATGTCACGATTCGTGGAATCCGTCTGATTCCTTGACCATATGCACCCAAGACAAAGGCCGCGACAACTTTACCAATGGGAGTACCAAGAATACCGCAAAACTCTGGCGAAGGAGACTCCCAAGTTTGCGGCTCCTTAGGCCGAAACCCAAGCCCCTCCCGGGACTCGTAAATATGATCTTGAATAAAAGACCTGGTTTCCCGTTGAATGATTCTAGTAACAATAACGCACTTCAGGCTTTTTAGGGGAAACCGCGACTCATAGAAAGCCTTGGCAAACTCAGACATGTAAAAGCTTGTGGAATTAGGTGCTCTCTTGATATTATCCATGAATATCACGCCTGGTCCCGTTCGCCCAACCCAAAGTGTTAACTCGCCTGTGAGTTTAACAACTGATACAGCTGATTCCAACCGATAAATACGTTCCTGGTTGCTTGCTGGGTCATCAACTGTTAGGCCAAAAATATGGACCCAGTACTCCCACTCCTCTCCAAGGGACTCCGGGCTGGAATGCACATACCAGAACTTAGGATCGATGCCTGGGATCGTAAGTTTGGTCATAGGAATAGGGCATTCAGGCTCATCGGCACGCTCTATCCACCGTCGTAAGCTATCTCCCTGTGGCTCAAACTCAGGGTACTTGGGAGCCATTGAGATGAAGTTGTCTCTAAGCTCACTAAGCCAGTTGAGGTCGAAGGAGAATAGGTAAGGTGCTTACTTGCGGACTCTAGCTTCTTGAGAAATTGTTGATATGTTGTTTTGGACTAGATTATGCGGTACATCGAGCATTCTTATATAGTTCTAATAAGCTGGACATAGGAACAAAGAGAAACAAAGAGCATAATCAATGCTATTCTGTAAAAGGCCGCATAATAAAGACCAATAATCTTGGGCAATCAATGAAGAATATAAGAATGAAGGATTTTAAGAATCGTTCGAGTAGTGCCACAAGAATAGAGTGCTCGTCAGCAGATAGGTCGATACCTAACAGTCACACAGTTGAAAATGTGATCTGCCCTCGAAATAATGTTGGTCTGTACTATACAGAATAGTCATGACAATCCACAGCCCCTCTTAAGTCCAAATATAGTGATCTTCTTCCATGTTCCTGTCGCATATATAATCACCCAGAGGTCATATCATCCAATAAAAAATTGTTGTCCTTATGTTGTGCTCACCATTGCCCTTTTGCGAATGCCCAAATCCCGGCCGCAAATTACAAGGCATTTTCAATCGACGTTCGGTCTTCGCAGAACGTGGGCCTGCTTGGCCGGATGCCATATAGGGTGGTAGCTGCTGTTGTATTGTTTCTTTGAAATTTCCTTACCCCCACTTCTGTTTTATCCGGCTTGGAACAGTACTTGATTGTAAGGATTTGACCTATATGTAATAGCTAGTCTCTTCAGACGGTTAGCAGTTTTGTTTAGCTCAGGATGGTTTTTGGGGGGATTCAATCTTGCCTAGCTTCTCTGGGGTGTGTAGGAAGGTGTCATCTTAGTCGAGGTAGTAGATATCGGTGTTGTGTGCTGTTGATGTGTTCACTCAGGATATGCTGCATGTAGGTGTCGACATTCTGGGATGAGGAGCTGCACATTTCACAGTAGAATCCTCCGTGGCCCGGAAGCTTGGATTTTTGGGTATTATCAGACAGAGCCCGTCAGTACCTATGCTTTCATCTTGATGCATATCACCGCGTACCCGAAGCCCCCCGGGGGATTGTTGTAGCCATAAAACAGACTTGTGAACTTTCCACCTCGGTTATCGTGATCGACTCGCTAGGGGCGGAGCAGGGGCTTCACGCCAGGAAATGATTGCGGGAGTGAGGGAAAGAGACAGTTCAGGCCATTGTCGTCACAGTGCATCAGGTTATGAACGCCCCCGAACGCCTGTTGGCTGCAAATGGCGATAGATAAGCCGGATAATCGGGGGTTTGCCATACTGATAGTTGGCAAGCGCTGCTTGGTTGACTTGAGTGAGTTGTGCATGCTCCCCAAGGAACCCGTTGTTGTCATCTGGGGTAACGGTGTTACCCCAGTGGAGACACATCGGTTCAATTGCCATATCGACGACGAAGAAGGTGCCATTCCAGTGTACCATTCACACAAGGTGGAAAGGTAGCCGGCATCAAATCTGGTGAGCACGATGCTATCTAAAGGAAGAGATTGGACAGCCAAAAGGTCTGAGGGTATTGGGTTGTCTACGGCAGAAATCAGGATTTGAGGAAGTTTCTCATGTCTAGCAATGCATCGAATACAATATTTTAAAGTCATGCGACACATCTCCCCCCAAAGCCTGACATTCTGACTCGATAGAATAGGTGGACTATAGCTACCTACAATGTATGTAGCTAAACATACGTCTAATCTCCAAGGTATCCCTCATGATCTCTAGTGCGAGGGTTGGACCACGAAATTGAGGTTATTATAGTTCCACAATGAAATGATGAAGCCGACATCTAAGCCAAGTAATAAGACCTAGAGCATGTGTCAATGGTCTCTTAGTCTAGTTAGCAACCTCAAGGCCGAATAGTCGCTTGGTCCCTTTTCGGTAGTAGCTCCTGCCAGGATTGAAAAGTGCTTAACAAGATCAATAGGGGGGGAACAATGGGTTGTCTCGTCCCTTTTGGGTAGTCGCCCCTGCCTGAAATGGAAGTTCAATGGTCGAGACACATAACGTGTGCCTATTGTCTCCATTGTGTGCATCGTTCCTTCCATTTGTGCAGTGCCTTCCGTTTGGGGACCCAGGGTCTCCTATAAATCCTCCCCCCCCCCTCTCTTTTCTCTCTCCTTCTTCTCTCTCTCTTTTCTTCTCAAGTTACCAACACAGTTTTCAACAGCGCCCTCCTGCGCTGTTACCTTTCTGCTCCCCCCGCGTCCCCGGCCTCGCCGGCGTTTGTTTTTCATTTTTATTTTAAAAAAGTATCAGTCTTAGATCAAATCCTCCTTCCATCCCATATTCCTTCTATTGGCTCGTATTGACATACATGCTAATGCCTTTGTCACCTTCTTTACAGAAAAAAATAAAAAAAAATCAACATGTTGATTCCCTTCTTGGGGATCTTCGTGGGCATGACTCTCTGGAGTCAGTGGTTCCCAATCCCGGGTTTCACTGCTCCAGAGCAGTCGTTCATGCGACGTCTGTCTGGTACGTTCCAGCTGACGATGGAGTCTTGGGCCTTCTGTGACCTGGTGAACGCTGCCGCCTCCCAGCGCGAGCATCCTGTATGGGAGTCGCGTCCTCACGTTGGCCGTGGGTATGCAAACTCGACGGACCTTCTGATTGTTAGCCTTGGTACGGATATCATCGTCCGGCCTGGTCTGGTCGATGATATGCCGCCTTGGTTTCCAACCCCGTTCCTGGTACCCATCCCGGTCTCGTCTTGGTCAAGTAACGGAGTGACATCTTCTGATCCCGAGGAATTTGTCGACATCCACTTGCTTGGATCCAAGCCTGGGCAAGGCTTCTTCGCCACGTTGTTGTTTTTCGGCATTTGGTGTTTCGTACAAGTCCCCTGGGCTTTGATTGCTTACCAACGGCAGTTGTACTCTGGACTTGATACCTTGATTGAATGGACTCTGAAGGTTCTCGAGGGCCAACCGCAAATTGCACGTGTGCAATTTGTGGCCGAGGAGGATTCGTCTTCCTTTGACGAGGAGCTGGATCTTCTGATCGCGGGCCCAAAGGAAACGGATGAGGACATTCTTGCTTGGGTCATAGCCGCAGACAATTGTCCCGAATCTGTGTCTCATGTGTCGGTTCTCTCTCAGTCTGGAGGTATCTGGGTCCACCGGATCACCAAAGGCCTGGGAGATGAGCAGGCATTAGAGCCAGAATCGGCATGCAATACCACCAAGCCGGCTAACACTACGGATGACGCTCGCGCGAACTTGGTCTCTCGGCATCCTTGGAACTCGATTGACATCTACGCCTCCGACCATGACGATTCTCCGGCTCCGGCTGAGAGTTTGATTGGCAGCGGTGCGGAAGATGAACGTCCCGATTCCACCCCGGCGTACTTCAGGAGGAAGAACCGTCCGTCGCAAGCCAAGAGACGTCGCGATGCAAAGAAAGCACAACAGGGAAAGAAGGAACTAAAGCATTCCAATGTTTTAGCCTCTTACGCTTCCAGTGCTTCTCTTGCGATGTCTTTGGGCTCGACGCCTTTGTCGGCTTTGGCTCCGGTCTTCGTTCCTGGTCGTTTGGCGGAGCAGGATGATCTGCAGAGTGGTCCTCTTTCTCCAACTCCCTTGTTCACGAATATGGGCATTGATCCTCCTGCGGACTGTGGTACGACTTCGCCCAATGGCAACGCTCCTTCCCAGCGGTCCTCCCGTCGCCGTCGCCGTCGACAGCGTCCTGCCTAGACGCTTCGGTGGTGGTGGGACATGCACCAGCAACAAAAGTGTCTGAGTGGGGCTCCCTTGAAGGAACTCCTCTCTTCGGAGGGTTGTTTAGGTCCTTCTTGGCTGTCCTGCAGCGCTTTTGCTTGCTGGTACAACGCTGTGTTGGGGCCGCGTCAAGCGTCCTCAGAAGCTTTTCGTATGGTGGTTGGGTTGGAGATTGAGTTGACTGGCCAATATGTAAGTATACCCCCAACCCTTTTTGAGACACCAGCGCTGACAATCTTACTCTAGGCTATTTTTTAAAAAAAATAAAAACAAAAAAAAGAGAGAGAGAGAGAGAGAAATGACAACATAAATACCTCGGAAAAAAAAGGGGTTTGCTCTCACTTCACTCTCACTTCACTTTCACTTCACTTTCACTTGTGGTGAGAGGTCTCTCTCTTGTGACGTTCTTGTCTCACGTCGCTTTTGCTTTGCTTTGCTCTTTTCTTTTCTGGGCTCTGGTTTGCCCTGATTTCCGTTCTTCGGCCGTTGACCGCGGGCACCCTTACAAGATACTCCTTGTCTGCGCCTCATTGTCCAAATCAATCGAGGTTCAGTCCGAGGCCGCGACTATTATCTCAGAACTGAAAACAAAAAGAATCGCCTCGGTCAATTCTTTTCCACGGCGCGTCGACTGCATCTCTCAGTCAACCATCTTGCCCTCTTCGAGCTTGTCATCATCTTCTCTCCAGGGTCGTTTACCCTCGTCTGCATCGACAATTAAACGGACTCACGCACGATCGTGCTCGTCATGGCACCTCGGGGAGAAGCTCGAATTAAAGACGCATTTTGACCGTCTTTCACAGCCCTTCAATTCAATCCTGCTGGGTGCACATCAACTCTCTGTGAACACTATTCCATGCGCTGCATACCTCACCAGAGCTTTTTGGTAACAAGGTCTTGGCTGAGTTCATTCCTTCAACCAACCATCTTTTGGCAGGACAACAATCACCAAACCTGCTTGGTTCCATACTCCAACAACTTGACCTCACGGTCATTCTCATTTGCATCATTCATTCAATCGACATGGAAACATCGTCAGTTGTTCCACACGGCCTCTGGGGGGAGGACCTGACTGGACAAACTACAAAACTTCATATTCTCTGCATCTGAAATCCTCTATCTTCTACATCGGCAAGCTTGGCACATCATCGGCTAACCATATACTCCGCTCGTGATACCCGAGGGAGATATCCGCCGGTGAATCATCTTGATGGTGATTTGTGGAACGGCAATCAACAAATTTGTACCGTGAACGCCACTCACCATCTTTTGCGTCTGTCACCACACCAGGCCTTGATTGCAAGGAGGGCAAAACAAAGAAACACTTCCACTGAGCTTACAGGACGGCTTCAGTTGGACGAATATTGCGAGAAAACAAATCAATTTGACCTCACATCTGCCGGTCAATTCAGATTGAGGTGCTATCCACTGGGCTATGAGACAAGCCTTTGCTGGATCAAGAACGCCATGACCATCAATCGGAAATTCAATTTCAATCACTCCAATTCACAAAATACCTATTCGATCATCAATCCAATTCCGATTCAATTACCTTGATTTACTTTCAACGGCTATCGCACTTTACCTCACCGGAAGATGAACCATCATCCATCCTTTTCTATTCTGGGCGATTTCCGAGAAACTTCCAAATTACAACGCCGCTCAACACTGTGCCTATCAGCCAATTCAACCTGCTTTCCGGCTTCTTCTTTTCTCTCTGTGGGCCTTCAACTAAGAATTTGCTGGATGAGCCTTTGGAAGACTATGCATCTCTTTTGTGTCTTCACTGGAAACCAACCCACTTTCCGTGTTCATCAATGTCATTCAACACGTTGGTTCACTCTACAGATCAAGAAAGACGCCTCTAGATGAGCCTCTTGACGTCCATAATCACTTTCCATGTGTTCCAATTCTGCTCGACAAGTTTGTCCTCTCTTCAGACCTTGAATTAGGTTTCTTCTGGACAGACATTCCGACAATCTTCGGAATCCCTTTCCACCTTCATCCTCCTCGGGCATCCAAAAAAAGAAAGAAAAAGCCCCTCATGAGGAACAAACAAGGGTAAAAACAAATACTAATTCCAAGACAGCTGGAAATCGTTGGTATATCATAGCCGTTTCTACTTCATTTTTCCATTTACTGACTGCTAATGGCTTTTCTAGGACCCATGACTTCTTCCATTGATGAGTCCGTCCTCCCAGCGTCTCTTTTCTTTGGCTGGTCAAACTCTGGATTTGGTGCATGGTCTACGGATCATGATGGGATATGAAATATGGGACATGGTACAAGGGGATATTAAAACTGGGATGAGCATGCATGCCATGTTTCAGGCGTTGTGTGGGTTCCTTGTGTTTTGTTTGTACAGATCCAGCATCCATTGGAACTGGATGAATCCTTTTTTGTTGTTTCAGTGATACCCCACAAAGCATAGCATTTTGTTTGTTGTTTTTTTCCTGTCTTTTCACTCGGTCAATTCAACACTATTGTTCCATTGTGGTCAATGGTTGCTCCTGTAGAAAGTCTTGATCAAGAGTAGCTGCGCACCAATTTCAGTAGACTCAAAATGGAAAGGAGACTTAGTTGGAAGCTGGCAACTGGTGAACTCGACAAGGCTTTTTTTCATCTGAAGGGCCTCTGTGTATAAAGAAGTGACAAGCTACTACTATGACAATGGCTGTTTTTGAGTGGAAAAATGGCCACCGGCGGGGGACGCATCCCAAAGAGACCTCTACGCTGCCTGAAGAATGAGATACCACTCAGTATATCAGAACTGCTACATATTATGGAAGCAAATGCGAAGCAAAATACGAAGCAACAGCCATCGTAGTTTGGTGGTATACTACACAGCGCCACTCCATGGAGGGTGCAGGTACATTATTCAATGTTTGCAAACAACATATGACCATTACGCTGGAAACAAAGATTTTGTTCAATGATTTGACAGTTATACTAGATGGAGAATGGACATATGATAGGGAAAGCTACATGACATGGCACTTCCCCCTTCGTTTACGGCCCCGCTCCTTAATTGTGTTATCGTTCCAATCCTGAATGCGCCGGCGCCATTCCTCGTTCGTTGGTGGCGGTAAGCTAGACGGTTCTGTTGAAACCCGCCTTTGGAAAGACCTTTGCCTCTGAGGTATCTCATGATCGTCATCTGCCACAGTGCCCTGCTCATCTTCATATGGCTGTGGGATGTGGAGAAGGTTTGGGGATGATACAGAGTATGGGAAGTAGGCATCACCAAGTGCATCGCCCAGTGCCGAGGCCCTCAAGTATGGAAGAGGCATGGTATTTTCCTGTGGGGGTAGTTCGGCTGGATACACAACAACAGTAGGTGTGGTGGGTTGGATTGTTGTAGGTGGACGCCAGGCAGATCCAGGCTGTTCTTGCGAGAAGTTGCTTGTGAACGAATCTTGGGGGACCAATTGGTCTGGGTTAAAGTCTCTGTGAATGGAATTTTCTCTGTGCCTAGCGCCAGTCATAGTTTCTAGACTCTGGAAATTGACAGATTGTGGGCGTGAGCGGTTTGCTTCTCCTTCAGGCCGGAGGGTAGAATTGGCGACATTGACTGGGGGGAGAAGCATTCGCTGTAGATCATCTGGCAATGGGCCCGCTGTCTCACGTTTGTAAGGAGGAGGTGGTGGCACCCAATTATCGGCGTCACTCTCATGAGGGATTTGTCGAGGGAGGTTGAGGGTATTGCGATATCGAGGGTCATATCGTCCACGGGTTGATGCAGCCGCAGTAGCAGCTCGATGGAGAACTTCACTGGAACGAGGCTGCGTATTATCATATGGAAGGTCAATTATATTGCCTCGAGAAGTCTCGCTGGGCGAGGTAGGGATTGCAAGGCTATTGCGGCGGAAGTGAAGTGGGAGAGCTCGGGATTCTCGAGTAATCGCTGAATTGCCAATGGCTGCGAATGTTGTAGCAGTATCGCCACGATGTAGTCGCGTTCGTCTTCTTTCAAGCTCAACTTCTGTGGCTAAAGAGGAGTCCGGCTCCATAAGAATCTTGGGCGCCGTTTCTCCGACTTCGATGTCAAGCTCAATCGTTTCGCCATTCATAGTGGAGCGCTCAAAATCAAGGAGGAGGATTCGACCACCATCAACTGGAATATCTTCTTCGCCAAAGTTCTGCGAGCGCACACCACCAGGCGCTACCGCGACGAGTCTCCGACGGCGTCTCGAGTCTGAACGTACCCAATGAGCGGATGTGATCCCGTGCATATCACTTACCCGCCGCCCCCGGATCAAGATCTTAGGTTGTTGAACGATCTTCTGGAGTTGTGCTAGGTTGTCGCGAGGCGCACAACCTCCATAATGATGACCACCACCAAAATGGGTACCAGTGGTTTCGCTAGCACCCAAGTCAGGCATCCCATATATCCACAGTTCTGAATCTTGGAACCCCAAAGCAGCAAGTTCCCCCGCATCATCTGTGGCGGGTCTCATGCTTGGCCGCATTTCCCGAGACTCGTCTGCGAGGAATGGACTGGCGAAATAAACGATTCCCGCATTGTTGTTTAATTGAAGCGCCCTGAACGCCCCCAATTGTTTATCATATCCCATCACCCAGTAATGGTCAGACTCCTCTTGGCCAGCAATAAGGGAGACGTGAGTGATATGGCAACCGATGGTTTCTGGAAAGAGAATTTGTGTTGTCCACATTCGCATCTCAAGTTCTTCGGGGGAGGCGTCCGTTCCGGTCTCAGTATAGAAAGGAGGAGTAACAGTGACGATACCTTCAGCTGTAAAGCCAAGAAGCATCGCCCCATCAGGCGAAAATGAAAGTGCATCGACACGGGGACAACGCACCGCTCGGCGGTCGGTTGGCAAAGCCTCTTCACCCACAGCGTATACCTCAATACTATCTTCAAAGGCTAAGGCTAACACACTACCTGATGGAGAGAATTTGATGTCCCTTGGAGCATCATTCAGCGTGATAGCTTGAATGTGCTTGGCTTCATGATCAGAAAGCTGGTAGATATGAACTCGATGCGTAGAAGACAAAACAGCAATTAGAGACCCATCATCACGGATTGTGGTTCCCAGTGGTCGCCTTCGAGTCTTAAGCTCATGCTTGACGGCGACTGGGTCAGTGGCCACATCTAGTATGACAATACGAGAAGAGCTAATGCCGAGAACCAGTTGACCATTTCCTGAAAATGAGAATCGGAAAACTTCACCCTGTGGGAACGCAGTTGACGAGCTCATAGAACTTGAAATGAGTCGCACAAGAGTTTGCCGGGGTCGTAAAAATGCATCAAAAGCATTCTGCCTGATCTGCTTCAGAAATTGGCGCTTGAGTTTAGTGAGGTTTTCTGCCTCAGGAATGACCCCGCGAGCCCAGGAAAATGATGAACAACGTGACAACTGATAGGCATACAATGCCGCGGAATCGGACGATTGCTTCCATCTTCGATTTAGCAGAGATAATGATGCAAATGTATTGGCATCGGAAGCATACAGAATGCTATTAACTCAGTAAGAATTGCAGTCAATGACTGACCATAAGGCCACATATCGGACGAACACAAGGTTGCGACTCTTCGGTAAAATAGAAACTTACTGCTCGATCACATTAAGTGGTAGCCGGTCAAAACAGGTCTTTAGGCTGGGTGATGCAGAAGAGCCCGCTTGGTGGACGAAAGGGTCGTCGGAGAGGAGGGTATCCTCCATGATCACCGCTTTCTATCTACATACAACAGATCAGGCACGCCGCGAGCATTATTAAGAAAAAGATGACCTGGTGGCTGTGCAGTTTCTCGCCCCATAGAGGCAATGCGGGACACCAGGGTCAATGAAACGACTCTTGCCGATCGCCTGCATTGTCCACGCCAAGTCCAAAGATAAAAATAGAAAGAGCCTAAGGCAGAAAGCCGTTATGTCAGCAGTTTCACGTACGATGAGTCATCATTCCCCACAGGGATCCATCCATGGATGCCCGCAGTTCAATTTTTGATAAGAAAATCGGATCGCCGCATTCTGATATCTGGGGAGACTCTGTACAAGATGATGTGCATGTGGCTTTGACTGATATAGCTCCCTAGCCATTGAGAGCTCCCAGTTCCGTTCTCGCCCTCAGCTCCCTATTGAGCAGGCCTCGTGCTCATACCCCTCACTCTGTCCTACCGCTAATCGGCCGACTCCGAAAACACCCCGAACAAAATCTCCAAGTCGACATATTTCGCTTTCCCCGTATTACCCTCAGATTTGGGCGCGCATCATGTCGCCTGCCCCAGTCCAAGTCAATTCGTCCTCCAAGCTCCCGTCTCCCGGATTCAATGCCGGCGCCCGGCCTTACCGCTCCCACAAGGTCCGCGCCTGTGACTTGTGTCGCAAGCGCAAGTCTCGGTGTACAGTTGATATCCCTGGTCAATCCTGTCTTCTATGTCGCGTACAAGGTGCCGACTGTCACTACCAAGAGGAGGCCAACGCGGATGCTTCGATCTTGAGCGCCCCAGACTCAAAATCATGGCCGGGGGCTCCAACGATTGAGGCCGTGCCGGGGCAGAAGCGTAAGCGCAGTCCCGATGGACTCGCCCACATGGGCCAGAGTATCCCGCCCCGGCAGCCGATGAATGGTCCCAGCCCCCATGGAACGACTTCGTCGGGTGGCCGTCGAGGAAGTGATCCGCGGCGGAAAGATATGGACGACCCCCAGAATGAGTCAGTTCTCATTGTTGGGCCTATGGTCGCTGAAGATGCTCAAGTCATTGAAAAGCACATGCCCCCAGAGCGGTTGAGTCAATCGGAAGAGCCCAATAGTCACCCGTACAACATCTACTCCAGTGACCCGCGGAAACCAGTCCTTTACACCACAATCTCTCGGCGAAGGAAAGGTATGCGGAAAGGAACGCCTCCTGGTGAGAACCAGAAGGAGGTCCTCGAACAAATACTCGGGCCGTTCAAACATGACCTAGTGAGACTGTATGTTAACCCTTAACTTCCCCCCACCTATTTTCTACCCTGCTAATGTTTCCTTCCTCTAGGTTCATCGATCGTTTTAACGTTTCTTTTCCGATATTTGACGGGGAATCGTTCTGGGAATCATACATTGCCGAGGACCTGCACGACCCACCAGCCGCACTAGTGTGTCAAGTCTATTCCATGTCCCTCGTATATTGGAAGCACACACATAAGCTTGCGTGTCATCCGAAGCCCGATGTTCGATATGCGATCAACATGACCGTCGCCGCGTTGCATGAGGAATTCTCAGCCCCTGGGTTGGACACAATCAGCGCCGCGCTTATCGATTTGACTGGACGACCCATTTTCTCCATGACTGGCAACGCCGTCAGCTGTGGCCGCATGTTATCTTTGGCAAATTGTCTTGGTCTGAACCGTGATCCTAGCAATTGGAAGCTCTCACAAGCAGAGAAGAACCAGCGGATTCGTCTGTGGTGGGGAGTTGTGATTCACGATCGTTGGTAAGATTGTTCCGTTTTCTTTGGCTTGCAACAAACCTAACAATAAATAGGGGAAGTTTTGGTCATGGTGTCCCACCTCAGATTTCGAAAAATCAATATGACGTGCCTCTACCCACAGTGGACGTATTAGTCCCATCAAACCTTCGCACTACAGAACGTGTGAGAGCAGCACACTGCCACATCTACCTATGCCGATTGACAGAGACTTTGGGCGAGCTCTTACCACTGGTATACGGGTTGCAACACAAGCCCGCACGCGAGACTTCCAAGAAACTCAGACAGATACGAACAGATCTAGATATATGGGAAGACTCCTTACCAGACTGGTTGAGAGGACCCACAATCCACTCCGGAGAACGAATCTACGGAGCAAGCAGCTTGCAGCTGGCTTTCTTAGCTGTCAAAATGCTTGTCAGCCGAGTTGAACTAAATGTAAGCCGAAGGTGGCGAAAGTCGAAAAGAGCGGTCTCTAATAACTTCACAGGAAGTCAACAACTCCGAAACTGAAAACACCGAAGCACGTCGCTATTTCCAAACGGAATGCAGAAGGTCAGCAGAAGAGATTGTTGCATTCATGACGTCTTTGCGGAAGGATAATTTCACAGAGTTCTGGCTACCCTGTACGTTGAAGCATTCTCTCTAGACGTTTCTTTTTCTAATTTTTTTGACAGATAGCGCCTTTCATCTGACGTCAACGGCAACATTGCTCGTTCGTTGCGCATTCGAGACCACTGACAGCGACGTTGCACGATCCTGCCTTTCCAACGTTGAAACCCTGCGCTCGGTCTTGCGTCGTGTGCGGGAAGAAGAAGACTGGGATGTAGCAGACATGTGTCTGGACCACTGCGAACGCATCATGCACCGCCTGCCCGGAACCGGTGCCACAATGGACCAGGCATTCACAACAACCACAATGGCAGACAGTGGGCTGGTCAACCCGGCCGCGATATCACTGCCCGAGACTCAAACAAATAACGACATCGTCGACGATATGATGTCAATATCTAATACTTTCGGAACGATGGACGGTTTCCCCTTTGACATGACAGGAATATGGGATGTGTCCGTCTTCCAAGATGTGAACCTGACATGATCAGAGAAGATCATTCTACTTTAAGATTCTTATTTCAACAATATACCCTGGGATCCAAAGCCCAACGACCTTGATATCAGTCCAATCTCAGTCTTTCTCATATTAAAATTTCTGACTAAAATTTTGTACAAAAAAACAAACCCCAAACCCTAATTTACACTCGTTCATTAATGCTCAGAACGAACCCCTGACGATCCGCTAGACGTGAAAAAAAGTAGTTGGCTCGCGCCGATTACTTATTCCTTGGAGCCAGCACCGAAAATGCCAGTGAAAGAGCCCTTCATGCTCTGCATCTGCTCTTGGCGGGCCTTCTCCTCCTCGGCTGCCATCTCAGCGAGCCACTTCTCGCCGTTCGCGCGAATCTCGGACTCGATCATCTCGTAGTTCTTTTGACCACGTTCGCGGATCTGATCCCAAAGCATCTTGCCCTGAGCCAAACCCTCGGAGGGCGACTGCTCGCCACTCAGGGTGGAAGAAGGCTTCAAGCCAAGTGCAGCAGCGAAGTTGCCCAGACCACGCGAGGGCTTCTTCTTCTGCTCCTCAGCAAGTTCCTTCTCAAAGCGCTCACGCATCGCCTTCTCGCGCTTGGCAAACTCGGCGGGAATGGGAGTGCCATCAAATGACTTCAGCACGGTACGCACATCTTCGACACCCATGCCAGCGAGGTATTCCAAGAAGGGGATGAGGGCGACCAGGGTCTTATCTTTCGGGTCGCCGGTCCACTTGTCCAAAACAATGGCGTTCTCAGGCTGGTAGCGGGCGTGCTCCTCCTTGGTATCGATGAGAATAACCTTGGAAAGGTCACGGTTAAGGTATTGCAAATCCTAGAAAACAATTAGCATTACATGACTGGCGGTAAAAAAAGGGATAGGTTGGCATACCTTGATGTACTCTCCATCCTTGTATCGGGTCGCCTCGCGGAACAGGGGCCAGCGGATGATGCGGTAAGGGTCCAGTTTGCGGAGGACTTGGTCTGCCATCATACTGGGCACACTGGTGAACAGGACGAGCTCATAGTATTGGTTTAGGTAGCGGAGGAAGTAGTCGACACCAGGTCGCTTGGCAACTCGCCATCCGTGCTCACGGGTCCATTCGCTGTGAACAAGGAGATCCTCAAGACTGAGTACCAGTGTGTATGGCTGACGCATCTCAGCATCCTCATCCGGAAGCAGCTTGGGGAAAGCAGGATCCTTGTAGTAGCTGGTGAGATCACTGGTGCGGGCCTTGATGCGGCTGTACCAAAGACCGGGGCTCCATCCAGATGGGATCTCAGGGTGTTGTCGCTCCTCCTCTTCGGTTTCCCAGTTGCGACCCAAGTAGCCCATACCGGCAACACCAGCAAGCAACATGGCTGCGTATACTATATTGGCCATGCGGGCCTTGCGGCGGTCGATAGATGTCTCATATCCGCCCTTGGGAATGTCACCACCTCCTCTGCCGTCCGCGCCATACTCTTCTGACTGGGCAGGGTCTTCTGTGAGGTTCAATGGTCCCTTCTTCATACGTCCTTCCAACTCTGCGGCCAGCGTCGATGGAATACCTTGTGTCAGATCGGGGAGAGGAAACTGTGGGGCTTGTTCTTGTTCGACCTAAAAAGGCAACGTCAGAGATGATTCATTGATGTAAAAGTAAAGAAAGCCTCACAGGTTCGGAAGATTGTGTAGATTCAGCTTTTGTATCAAACTCGGGTTGCTCCGCAGCGAAATCTTTTGGAGCTGCTTTGGGAGTATTCGACTTCGATTTGTTCGACTTCGCCCTTAGCTGGATACCCGGGGAAAGCTTGTAAGCAGTGTAAGGCGAGGGCCGCGCCGACAGGGTTGATGCCCGAACGGCAGAGGCGAAGACATTTGGCCTCGTTAGAGGCAAGACTGCACGACTAAGCATTGTGTATTGGGTTGAAACAAATATGTCCTGAATGATGGGATAAACCGCAGTCTCCCGTTAAAAGTCGGCGCGACTCGGTACGGCGGAGGATCCGAACCACCCGTGCACTTTGTTTATATATCGACCCCGACGGCCATTGGGTCTTCTCTCTTTTTTCTTTTCTTCTTCAGAAAGTTCACCCAGACATTAATTTGACCTATCAAGCAATTTCTCTCTGCATGCCGGGTTGTATTAGCTGGGGAGACCAACGAAGATCTTCTTCATTCCCACTACCAAGAGCGCAGCAAAGGTTTTTCCCGTGAAGCTGCGCTCCGATCGTGGGACACAAATCTTTTTTAGTTTTCTTTTTTCTCTTTTTTGCCTGATTACCAGAAATATGATCTTCCTGTCCAAATTTAGACTCGCTCGTATTTCATAGAATTCGCCTGCATATCTTGCAATCATGGGTTTCAAAAAGAAGATGATCCATTTTGAGGAGCAACTCTCCGATGTCGAATCTGAACCAGACGCTGAACCTCCGATCTTACTACGATTCCCTTTCCTCCATCTACCGTCCGAGATTCGCCTGCACATTTATCATTTTGTCCTGTTCACACCGACCCGGAAGAGCGCATTGAAGCGCACTGGTGGCAGTGTTGGGTCTTCAGCAAAGAAGAGCAAACCTCTAGCACCATCCTCGCATCGCATCGCTCTATTCCTTGTCTCGAGACAAATCCACGACGAAGCAACTCACCACTTCTATTCAACCCAGACATTCCGTGTGTTCCCTATCCAGGACTTCCTGCGCATGCCCACGATACGGGCTTTGCCTCGACGCCACCGCTCTTCGATCACCACAATAGAACTGATTGTGGGATCAAGCTGGACTGCACCCCCAAAGTCATGGGTTGTAAACCAGGGCTTGGGGTTACACGACATGGAACTTCTGCGCACGTTGAAAGTGTTTGTGCAGTGTGACCCTTCACACCCCGTGTTCGAGGGCTTTCGCATCTCCAAGGATTACTACACAGACTTCTGTGGCAAATTGTTACATCAAATCTTGGAAAGGTTGCCGGGTCTAGTTCAGGTCGAATTCGATGCCTGGCCCTCTGTAGAGAAGAATGGACATTTGATGACTCGCTTGCTTACGGAAACCCGGGATGCTCAGAAAAAGGTCCTTTGGGGCCCTGATAGAGGCTGGAGCGACACTCAAGATGACACTCACGAGAAACATGACCTCAATGACGTGGATGTTGCATTTGATGGCCTGCGGGCCTACTCCCCTGATGTTGTCGAAGCATTGAGCAACTCGCTTCAGACAGTCAAGTTGGAGTCGTGATAGATAGTCCATTGTTCGGTGGACGTTGTTCATATTGTTACGATTTATATACATTGCGCGGCGCATAGATCACATGAAACTAAATTATAGACACGCACTTACTTCCAACAATAGACCAAACGCCATTCTTGTTGACAATGAATTTATTATTGTTATGTCGGAATTGGAGTAGATTTCATTCATCTGTTGGTCTGGTTTGGTAACATAAAGCCCAACCAATCAGAAATAATTAAAGTGGTTTGATAGGCACACTTTTCTAACTCTTTAGAGGTCTTCATCAACTTCCATGACAGCACCGTTTGTGTCTTCTTTGGATGATTGCCTGGCCACCGAAGCCTCCTTGTCAATCATCTGCCGCGAGACGGCAACAATGTTATCCTCGATCAACTTTTGACTTACGTCCTCGATGTCTGTAAAGCGTCAGTTTCCGCTTTTTGGGGGGGGTTATTACCACAAGTAAGAAAAAACATACGCTTCTTGGGATCAACCTTTCCAACGTATCTCGTCTTGAGCTGATCCTTGCTCAGCTCCGTCTCTTCCTTGATCCGCTTCTCGTAGCCCTCTGCAAGAAGCACAAGCTGCTTCATGCGGTCCACGTTGTGCTGACCCTCTTCGTGGAAGTCACTCATCTCCAAGGCCTCAGTCCATACATGCTTGTGAAGGTTCATCAACATGTTCTCTTCCAACCCCGTCTTACGGTAATCAATAGCAATGCTGTAATAGTGGCGGTTAAGACCGTGGATCAGAGCCTGGATCGAGGGCTTGTTGAGGTGACCCAAGTTTGATGTAGTCTGGCGAGGCTCTTGACCCATCACCACCGTCTGAGGCTGGATGAGACGGAAGGCGTCAATAACGACCTTGCCCTTCACTGACTGGATAGGATCGACGACAACGGCAACCGCACGCGGTGTGAGCTGCTCAAAGGATTGCTGAGTGTTGATATCGACCGAGGAGAGCCAGCAACCGAAACCGGGATGCGAGTGGTACCAGCCAACAACAGTTTCTGGTCTATACGAAGCTATCAGCATTGGGGAGTCCTCTATTTTATATCGGCTGATAGGCTTACCGTCCCGTCTGACGGAGCATTTCCATCATTCTAGTTTGGAACACGGGGTCGACTGCCTCAACACTGACACCAGTACCGCTCTGGGGCATGGCAAAGACATCCACTACCCGAACTGTGTATTCATCAACGAACTCGCCCAGCATAAGGCCCATGACCTCCATCGGCACACCCGCGCGTCCATGTCGTAGCATCTTCAGCAGAGCCAAGGAGGAGATGTGAACAGTTTCGGAGTTATCAATCAGGTTTGGGGTATCCTAAACAGCGGCTCTCATTAGTCAATGTGAAGAAACATGGTGAAGCCAGGCTAGGGTGTTGCCATTAATGCCCCCCAACGAGGAGATTAGAGGTCTTATCCAACATACACCACCAGGAGCAGCGCCTCCCATCCCCATGCCTTGAGCGGCTTGGAGCATCCGGTTAAGGCGATCCATAGTTAATGAGATATCCGACTAGACTTGATGAAACGAGAGTAGAGAGGGCGAAGCTATCGCTATTTGGAAGCTCCGGAGCAAATCGATTTGTCTCTAGTAGCTTGGTATTGGCGAAACAGTGTTCAAAGAAAGATACAAGATAGCAAAAATCCCCGACAGATGTGATATTAGCGAGAAGATAACAAGGTTGTCAAAGACGTGTTAAGTGATGATGAGCAAAGCCGTGGGAGCTTTGCCTGACGAAGGCGGTGTGTGGTTCGGTCGGCTTCCGCTCCTTCGCGGGCGATTCTCTCTCCTCCATCTATTCTTCAATAGCCTGAACAATGACATTGGCTTGCTATTGTGATTAAGTTCTGCTACCTAATCTTCGCATTGCGGGATCTGGTGACAATAGGTGTCATCGCTGCCTATTTACCCTCCTGGGAGTATATCTGCATTGCGCCTGCAACTACACTATTCATCATTCCCCGGATCTCATTTACACTTCGTGAACTTCACCTTTTTTCCCCTCTCAACCTAGTGAACCCTCAGTCGCTCTCTGCAAGATGGCTTTGGAACCTATCTCTGATAGGCTTCTCGGGTCTAAAAATAAGAAAGTCGCTTACTTTTACGACTCCGATGTGGGCAACTATGCCTATGTCTCGGGCCACCCCATGAAGCCTCATCGCATCCGCATGACACACAGCTTGGTGATGAACTATGGCCTCTATAAGAAAATGGAGATCTATGTAAGCACTCTTCTTCCTTTTTTTCCCTGTTTGACCCTTGCACTAACAACTCAGCGCGCGAAACCTGCCTCAAAATACGAGATGACCCAGTTCCACACCGACGAATACATCGACTTCCTGTCCAAGGTCACACCCGACAACATGGATCACTTCTCGAAGGAACAGAGCCGGTACAACGTTGGAGACGATTGCCCCGTGTTTGACGGTCTATTCGAGTTCTGCGGAATCAGCGCTGGCGGCAGCATGGAAGGCGCCGCGCGACTGAACCGCAACAAATGCGATGTTGCCGTCAACTGGGCTGGTGGTCTTCACCACGCCAAAAAGAGTGAAGCAAGTGGCTTCTGCTATGTCAATGGTATCGTGCTTCGGTCCTCAAATGTCTGTCTCAGAAGCTAACATTCATGTAGATATCGTTCTCGGAATTCTGGAGCTTCTGCGCTTCAAACAACGAGTCCTTTACGTTGATATTGATGTTCACCACGGCGATGGTGTCGAAGAGGCCTTCTACACGACTGATCGCGTCATGACCTGTTCTTTCCACAAGTACGGCGAGTACTTCCCTGGTACCGGTGAGCTCCGAGATATCGGTGTTGGGCAGGGCAAAAACTACGCAGTTAACTTTCCTCTCCGGGATGGCATCACTGATGTCACATACAAGAGTATCTTTGAGCCTGTTATTAAGAGCGTGATGGAGTGGTACCGCCCCGAGGCCGTGGTTCTTCAGTGCGGTGGTGACAGTCTATCTGGTGATCGCTTGGGCTGCTTCAACCTGAGTATGCGAGGGCACGCCAATTGTGTTAACTTCGTCAAGAGCTTTGATCTACCAACCTTAGTTCTTGGCGGTGGCGGCTACACCATGCGCAATGTTGCACGGACATGGGCTTATGAGACCGGTATCCTTGTCGGAGAGCCCCTGGGATCAGAGCTGCCATACAATGACTACTATGAGGTAAGCTTCTTGCTTCTTCCAGACTAACTAATACTAACTGCATTAGTACTTCGCTCCTGATTATCAGCTTGATGTTCGCCCCTCCAATATGGACAACGCCAACACCAGAGAATACCTGGACAAGATTCGCAACCAAGTTGTTGAAAACCTCAAGCGCACGGCATTTGCCCCTTCAGTCCAAATGACGGATGTGCCGCGAAACCCCATCTTAGATGGCATGGACGACGAGGCGGATGACGTTATGGACGACCTCGATGAGGATGAGAACAAAGATAAGCGGTTCACACAACGACGATTTGACCAACGCACCGAAAAGGCCGGCGAGCTCAGTGATAGCGAGGATGAAGACGAGAACGCCGCCAACGGTGTTCGTCGCCAACCAGGCGCCATGCGCCGTCGCAACCAAGTCAACTACCGAAACCTCGAGCCGGACTCTGGGCTGGATAGTGGCATGGCAACCCCGCAAGATGGCTCATCTGCTGCTGATGGAGAAATGGATTTCCCCCTTGATACTAAGATGGCCGATGTCCCACGCACTGAACCCGAGGCCCCCTTTGCCGCCACGGAAGCTTCGCGCGCTGATGAAACCCCCATGACTGATGCTGATAACATGGCTATGGAAAGTGAGGAACAGGAAGCCTCCACTACCTCTCAACATCAGTCTCCTCCCCATCATGACGAAGATACTACTATGGAGGATGCTGCTGTTGCTGAACCTACTATCTCGGAACAAGCTCCGGCTCAAGCGTCAATTATTGAGGAGAAACCTCTGGCCGAGGGCTCCACCGCCTCCCCTTCGCGGGCCCAGTCTCCTCCGAAGGAGGCTGCCGCTTCTACCCTCGAGAAGAGTGCCGAAGCTTCTGCTCCTACTGCGGACCTCGAGGCAACGGTGACCAAGGAAGAGAATCTAGAGCACATGGCAGAACCCAAGAAAGAGGAGTAATCGGCTGTGATGCAAAGACGACAATATCGGACCTGGCGCAATGGACAATGGCAGAAAGGTGTTATCGGTTTACCAGCGTGCTCGCATCTTACTTGACACTGGGGGGGCATTACTCGTGACGGAATAGCAGACTCAAATCGAGGTTCAACCTCGAAATGTTTCGGAGGATGGCGGGTTGCTTTTATGGACTTTCAATGAATCATTTCATATCTTATCTTCATCCCTGTGCTATCTGTTTTTTCTTTCGCCTAGCTTTTTTTTTTCAAGGTTGCAAATGTATTAAATTATTCAGTGAAATGCAATCTTCTTCAATGTCACAACATTTCAACCCTAGAAGTATACAGTTGATGCCTGAGGCAACACAATTTGTAACTATCCCAAATTGGGTTAGCATTAGGGCAAAGTCGATGGATCTGGGCAGCCAATCACCTGCCAACGCCAAGATTTTACGCACTTTGCCCACTAAGCGAGAAAGCACACCTCCAGTTTGGATCCTCGACGTTCGACCTCTTGTCGCCAACCTTTTTCACCCAACTTCCCCCGTGATCATCAGCCATCATGTCTAAGAGAGGGTGAGTCTCCCAGCGATTCCCTCGGTGGCCCCATTCGATTCCGAACCGATACAGAATTATTTTGCAAGCATGGACAAGCAACACCACACCTTTGTGTCGAGAGGATAGAATGGGGCTCGGATTGGGAAAAGAACGAATCGACAAGAACGAAATTTACTAACGGTTAAACAGTCGTGGCGGTGCCGCCGGCAACAAGCTCAAGATGACTCTCGGTCTGCCTGTGTACGTATACAAATTACTTATCGTCTAGTCTGTTTCGAATGCGCCTTTCTTTCCCGCCGGGTCACACAAGTCAATTTCCAGTCGATCAAACGCCCCCAGAAAAACATACACCATGCAACAAAACGAAAAGATCGGCGGGAAGAAAGGACAAGAAAATTGGATCTCCACTTTCAGCATTCGAAACACGACGTCTTCAAGATCTAGAACAATTCACTAACGGTTCTCTTTTTCGTCAAACAGTGGCGCCGTGATGAACTGCTGCGACAACTCCGGTGCTCGCAACCTGTACATCATCTCCGTCAAGGGTATCGGTGCCCGCCTGAACCGTCTCCCCGCTGCCGGTGTCGGAGACATGGTCATGGCCACCGTCAAGAAGGGAAAGCCCGAGCTCCGCAAGAAGGTTATGCCCGCTGTCGTTGTCCGCCAGAGCAAGCCCTGGCGCCGCCCCGACGGTATCTTCCTGTACTTCGAGGACAACGCAGGAGTTATCGTCAACGCCAAGGGTGAGATGAAGGGTTCCGCCATCACCGGTCCCGTCGGAAAGGAAGCTGCTGAGCTCTGGCCCGTACGTTATACCCTCCACATGGAAATGGATTCCTATCCATTTCCACATCTCCCACTCAAAACTAACACTTCTTTTCCAGCGTATTGCCTCCAACTCCGGTGTCGTCATGTAAAGAGAGAAAACCCGAATTTTAAAGAAAAAGAACGATACCAAACCTCAAATCTGCTTGGGACCTGGAATGCGGTGCATATGAGACCATAGGATTAAAATGGGAGCTGGACAGGTGGTGTCCATTTGACGAAATCCAACTGTTTATTTTAAAGCCGGTTTTATCCTCCATCTTCGTGTTTCTCCCTCCCTTTACTGGCGGCTCTCGGAAGTATTACTTTAAAATCACATCCTTTTGCAATGCCTTGCCCGTTACCTCGAGGGCTGGCCTAAAGGTTTTAGGCTGTATGGGAGGGGACTTGGTCCTGGTTGTTTGTTCTTTGGCCGATATATGAACTCTGATATGACCACCAATGGCTCTACGTAGGCCCTTCGTAGACTCTTTGTAAACGTATTTACTTCCTGCACAACTCTACAACAAGGCACAACTTCTACAAAGGTCACGTCATAAAGTTTTATATATACAACCAGTTAGTTGAGGGTCCATTATAAAAATATATATTCCGCGATGTATGTATCCAAATGCAAACCGCTCAGTTTATCCAATGCTATTAATACAATAAGAAACAAATTTACAACCCAATTATTTCTTCCGTCCATTCTGCGTCTTATGTTCTGGCTGGACTTTCCGAACAGCCGTCTTCGCCTGAGCATCGCCAGATAAGAACCAAAGCAGAGCCACACCTAGCGTCACTAATACGAGGATATGAACCGCCCACCAGATATGCTGCACACCAGCTGGACACATAGTGATCTCATAGCTCCACTCTCCAGCGACCTCATCAAACCACGCTGAAAGGAGACCGGCATTACCACCAAACTCTCCCATCATTGAGCGGAGGGTCACCTCCCGGATAGAAGGGTCATCGGTGTGCTGGCTCTCGTCGAAGCGCTTCACATCCCACTTCCAAGCTCGAGACTCGCCGTCGTCGTTGGTTGTTTCAGTGCGGTTGACGAAATGAATAGCATCACAGCCCGGGTGGTCATGCCCTGTAAGAATGAGCCCATTCCGGCCCTGCCCACCAGCAAGCGCATTCTTGTCGCCGCTCAGCCCAAATATGCCTTGCAGGACCCCATTCGCACTTAGTGAATCGCTGAGATGGTTCTGCTCCTTGAGACCACCGTCAAGCCACCGGGGCACACCGTCGGGACCATCCTGGTCGTCAGAATCGCGGAATGAGAAATATGGTCCGTCCGTGCACACACCATCTTCCTTATGCAGGGGTAGATGTGTTAGAAGTAAAGTAAAAGCCGACCGATCCTCGACCGGCGAGAGTCGATCGGCGATTAGATCGTTCAGATAAGAATACGTATGGCTCTGGACCTCCGCAGAAAGCGCGGGGGTATCGAACATGAGGGAATTGAGATTAATCAGGTGCAGAGTAGGGGTAACAACCTGGTCTCCGGCAGAAGCAGACGAGATAGGCGGGTGTTCGAACCGCACATCCCAATTCGCACGGCCAAAGACACGCTCAAAACGTTCCATCCGCGCCTCGCTGATATCCCCCGCATATCCAATATCATGGTTCCCCGCGACATTGATCACGCGCCTGGCCCAGGCCCGATCCGCGCCCAGGGGTTCCAATGGCGGCGCATTGCTGCCTTCGCCCTGGCTCCAACCCGCAGCACCAGTCCTGGTGATGTTGTCGTCGACCCGCTCTCCGCCGCGGAATACGCGGTTCCAGTACCGGTGTCCGCGCCAAGCGAATTCGTCGTCGGAGATCCACTGGCTCCCCACCAAGTCGCCCAGCACCGTTGTGTGTGTCGGCCGGGTCCACCAAAAGAGGGTGCGGTAGATGTGCGCGAGGTAGTAATCGTTGCCAAAGAGGTCGATACGTTTCAGACCTGATCTGAAGGCGCGTGGGATGTCTTCGGTTGCGAGGGTTCGAAGACCGGTTGTGATGTTTGAGAGGACATCCTCGTTCAGTAGAGGTGAAGTGGAGGCGTTGCCAATTGCTTCTTGGATGGCGCACCAGTGGGTCTGCATGCGGGGGTATAATTCATATTCGGGGAAAGGGAGCGAGGTGTCGCCTTCCAATTGGGGGTCTGCGAGGACCAGGAGTCTAAAGATGGCGGGTTGACTGTTTGAGTCTGAGGGTGAAACACCGAGGTGTTGGAAAAGCGTGTTGATCACTGAATTATGGTATAGCTGCTTCTCGCTTGCCTGCGAGACAGACTGTGGTAGAGGAAAGGCGCATCCGTTGAAGACTGGATAGAGATAGAGGTAAATAGTGGCGGTCACTGTAAGTGGAAGAAGGAGCGCAAAGGTGCGTGAGAGCAGCCAACGGAGGGACATGAGGGATCTAAAATGACAGAAGAAGGATAAATGTTATAAAGACCTATACAGCATATTGAAAAGAGTTGTCTTGAATGGTGGAAAGGAGAAGAAACACAAGTGCGGACATCGCTAATCGATAAAGATAGCGCGCACATATATACGAACGCTGGCTATAGAATTGAACTCCCCAAGATAAAATGAACAAATTATTGCCGAGTCATTACACACAATCGCATTAAGTATTGATGGTCCTACTGCCAGGAAATATTTAGAGTAAGCTGTTTGTACGGGAGTATAGGAGTGGGCTAAGAGTACAACATATAGGATGGGGCCATATACTGCCCGTAATAAGAGTTGACGGTGTATTGGGCGGTGAGAACTGTGAGAGTGATGATTATCTAAAATATTTATTATAGTATCTACATTTGCAGACGCAATTAGTATAGGGAAGAACGCTTAGCTCCAGTCAACTTCGTGTCCATAAGCAAGTTAATCACATACTCCCACATAAATCCCCCAGCGACCAACGTACCTACAATGACAAAATTGGCCCGAGTCAACAAAGGGAAGAAGTCTGAGCGAGGGGTATATCACATCAAACGCCAGCAAAAAGAAAGAAAACAAAAACGGCCAAAAGATATCCTTCGCATAATTCCAATAAGGTCACACACAAATAAATAGGGGCCCAATAAATATTCACTTAGAATCCGTCTTGGCTAGAGGATCCGGAAGCAAGGACGAGTGGCCACTGTCCAAGTCTCCAAGGGGGTTAGACAGAGGCCCTTCGAGGCCTTCATCTATGCTGTTAATGTCCAGACTGCCGTTTGTGTCCTCGAATGAGTTGGCATCAGACTGACTGAGGTTCAGACCCTCAATTTGGAGACCAGCCTCTTCCTCTTCCTCATCGATGGTCTGCTCGGTCTTGGTGCTGCCCGAAGCAGGCATCAGCTCCGGCGGCCGCTGGTTCATCAGCCGGGCTTGTTTCAGACTAATAGTCTTTTGCTTGTTGGTGGATTCCACTGCCTGTCCTAGATCACGCTCGATCGTCGCTTTCATCAACGCTGCCATCCACAGACGACCCTGCTGGACATTGTCGACTTGGAAGTAGTGGGTGGCCGGTTTTGTGAACTGCACGGTACGCGAGTTGCCTGTCTTTGGGGGCACGAGCTTGAAGAAGAATGGCCCACTACCGTCCTTGCTGGTCAGCGACTGAATAACCGAGGGAGTGGTGAGCTTTGTGCCGCCAGCGCCCTCCGCAGTGTTGTTGGCATTGGCTGGCAACGCGGTGGAACCGGTGATGGTTGCGTGTAGAGCGATGATCGGATCTTGATCCGCTCGCAGGACACGGTGCGCGGTAATGTCAATCAAGCCTCTTTCCTCGGTGTCGTCCTCGGAATAGTAATAGGACAGGCGACGACCGCGCAGGACAAACAGACGGGGTTTCCAGGTGGTCATCAAGTTGGAGGATCTCTTCTTCATCCATCCACTATAATCACAACCATCCATCTGCTCGTGCGGTGACTTCTTCTCAAGACCTCGAGTATAGGCACTGGTTTCTTTCTTAGACTTGACGGTCCGAGGACGGACTACGAATCCGTGCCCGTCAGTAGCAGCCTTACCAGACCCGTCTGTACTATGCCGTTCTGAGCTCTTGGATGTCGCCGATGGAGTTGTGGATCCCGTGCGAGCAGAGGTGGGATCAGACTCCCGCGGCGAGTCAGGCGGCACAGAGGTGTCAATCTTCTTTCCAACAACGTCGGATATGGCACGGAGGCCCATGGCTCGGCGGAACTTGGGCCCAGCATTCTTCAGTGGCTGGAATTGCAACGGTGAAGCGCGAGAAGAGGGGCTTTCCGAATCAACTTTGCCGCCAGCACGAGAGAAGTTGGCAAAGAACCCGCCACCGTTACTAGTCTTGCTCTCGGTGGTTGACGATTGAGAGTTCCCACTTCTATCCGTTGATACGCGGGTGCTCAAGCTCCGCAGCCGACTTTTCGGTGGTGTGCCATGATAGGCCTGGGCTGCGGGAGAGACATGCTTTGCTGCGTCACGGATCGAGTCCATACTGCCAATGCGAGATTGGCGCTTCGCCGGGGATATCACTTTATATGGATCTTCTGCATAGCTTGACTTTTGTGAGTGATTGTTTACGCCGACACCGGTAGACGACCCCCGTTTCTGTAGAACGCGGCGGCTTCGGCGCGAGTCAACCTCGGTTCCCGAGAAATAACCCCGATCTAGGTCCTCAATCTGATCCGGGGTGCTGGTATAAGAGTTGGCGTAAGAATCTGACTCAGCGGTTAGCGGTCCGTTCTGGAAGCCACCTGGACTAGTGCCCGCCGAGGTTCCTGGGCGAGCAGGCATGGATTGGGGACCAGAATTCAGAGTCCAGGACCGGTCGAATGAGGGTTTCTTCTGATGGTGACCGGCGAAAACAGAATCAGACATGCCGCGTTGGGTGGCGTCAATGGAAGAATGACGACGCGTCTGGTTGAGATCACGGAGCGATGCCGCAGAAATTCTCCTCGGTGAATCATGGCTGTACGGAGGGGTATGTGGTGTCATGGGCGAGCTATTGTTGCTAGCCAGTCGGGGGTGTTGCACCGGCGCAGAGGCTCGTGGGTAACCGGCGCCGGTCTTTTCTGACAAGGTTGGAATCCGAGGAAGGAGTGGACCGGTGTGTCCAGCGCGAGACAATGTACGTTCATCGGAGGGCCCTGAGAAGCTGGAGGAGATGGAGTCTCTCGGGGCTTGCTGCTGACTGAAGCCCTTGGTCTCTTCTTGGAATGCCTTGATTTTGTGCCAGGTCTTGAGGCGCTTGCCCATGACTCCAAAATCGAATTCCTTCATAAAAATAAAGTCTTGATCCATATCAAGGAGAACATCACCGGTGATCTCTTGTTCTTCAAAGATGTCGCAGTGTTTGGGATCAATGCCGAGCCCGCGCAAGCACCTTGAAGTCTGGTTTTGACTCCATTTTCGTACTTCCTGCTCGGTTGGCTGATTCTGCTCTTCGTCGTCGGTTTCATGTCCATTGATATAAGAAGCCCTGTGGCCAATATGGCTGCTGTATTCGCTGCCGGAATCATTGATCGTCCTGGGCTCTTGGGTCGACACGCTGTGACGCGGGGTGTTCATATCCGTAATGTGCTCGTCAATGACGCTCAACGTCTCATTCATGACCGGACTGTCTTCGCCGTTCATATGATTGTCCATGGAACCACGAAAAGCTTGCTGAATATCGGCCGCCAGGCTTGGGCGAGGCAACGGAGACGAGGCAGATCGATGCTGGGTGGGAGAACCGATTTGTGGTGACTGCATATCGGAGCTAACGTGGCGCGATGCTTGAGGGGTGCTCTGTCCGCTCCCGACTGATGCGAACGATGAATCTGCAGGCGTGGGTTCCAATTGTATTGGCGACTCTACAAATACCGGCGATTCAGCGAGTGTCTTTCTTGGGGGGCCCGCCTTGGTAAAGTCTTATCGCGCACAAATATTAGCAGGGGGAATAGTCGGGGGGGGGGGGGGGGGGGGGNNGGGGGGGGGGGGGTGGTGAGGGGATCCTGGGAGGGGGCCGCGCATACTTGCAGGGAAGAGACCAGTCTGTCCCGTCCTAAGGTTCTTGCCGTAGTACCAGGCATCTCCGAATCCTTCATCCAACTCGATCAATTCAATCTTGTCGCGGGGTAACATGATCAGTTCATCTTCTCCGCGCCCGCCAAATTCATCTAGTTTGGAGTGTTAGAAGGCCAGGCGCATCCTGAGAAGCGGGAGTCATAGCAAATCAAGGTGTCGCACAAGACGTCACTTACGAAGAACCTCTAGAATGTCGCCGGGACGAACACCCTGTGGTGGGCCCATGGTAACCATCTCTCAATATTCCGTGTTTCTAATCAAGAGGAAACGCAAGACATGGCACCCTTTGGGAAGTGCAAATTGCAAACTGCAATCGCGTATCGCGTATCGCGTATCCCTCTGGGGCAGAATATTGTGATTTCACAGAAGGTAAAAAGGGGAGAGAATGTGAGATAACTAAAGAGATGAAGATCCGAGAGATTAGAGAGGATTAGGTTAAACAACTCGCGGGGCTCGGGAGCACGAACCTCGAAGGATCCCGACCTCGGGAGGTAGCTTGGTATTTTTTGGGGGGAGAGGGGGGGGGGGAGCTTCTTTTGGTAGGAAGGGTATTATATCTGTGCAAACACGATATATATCATACCAGACCAAAGCAAAAAAGCAAAGGATGTTCAAGAATCTATGATAAATGAAATTGGGCAGAGACACACACACATCAAAAATGAAGATAAGTATATAACCAATACCAAAAATATACCAAAAATTGCAAAAATTGCAAAAAATGCAAAGGCAAAAGTGACGTGTGGAAATTGTCAGAAGTCTGGACTTGACGTTTCCGTGGTTGAGAAAGAAAGATGTTAGGTGGCACACCTTTTTCAAAGGTTATTCTGTTTATTACATATAATTACAATAATAATTACTAGCTTGAATGAACAATTCAAGTATTCCGTTTTCGTAAGTAACTAAGTATGTACATGCAAATGTGTGCACATGTGTGTGCACTGCTTATATGCAGATGAACCCGGTCATTCTTGCCCAAGTCTATGTACCCGATATAGATTGGATTTAGTGTACATACGTTGATTACTTTAAGATTTAGTTACATATGTAGATTTAGCATCGATGATAGGATAACTTGGTTATTATGGTAATTTAGCGTACCTATCTCAGAGTTTCTCTGCGCAGTACCTGCGTCTATTGTGCTTTCACTCTGCACGGTACCATTCCTATTATGGTATCTAAGCGCTAAAGTAGTCTAAGATTCTTTGTTCAAACATTATTGTAAGCGCGCTTTATTAAAAGACTTGACAAAATCATCCTGATGCTTCGGCTTTGACACTCACATCGTCATGGTATCACCTAAATCTCGATCGCACACTAGTGCTGATCATATTGAAGAGTCCAATACTACCGCCAGTCTGTTTTTAGGCGGCGTGCGGAGGAACTGGATGGGCCCGCAAACTAACCTCCCGGAGAACTCGGCTACGCGAAACACTCGTGTCGAGGTTGACCCTCCAATCCCCTCCAACTCCCTTCCCCGCGAGCTTGTCTTAATGTCCCCCGTCACGCCCGGTGAGACCCTTACCCAAACTCCCTCACGCGGTCCTGTTCATACGGCAAAAAAACCCGATGCGCGAGCGACAGCTCTTCCCTCACCTGTTCCCAGTACAAATTCTCACCCAAGTCCCGTGAACGCCGATGCGATCGTCTCAAATAGACCCTCCACTCTACCGCCAATTTCTACACAACTCACGGCGCAACGTGGCAATGATGAGCGCATGGCAGTCCGACAACCTCCTCCCAGTGGGCTCGCCACGTCACAAAGTGTGACCCAGTCCCCTCTAACGGGACCTAACTGGTCCACGAACTCGCCCTCGCTCACAGGCACACGCACAGATGCTAGCACACAAGAACACACAGTCTCGGAGTCACGTCCTAGCCCGCAGCAGAATGGGAGAGCTGGAGCTGCGACCATCCCCAGTGAGGCATGGGAACAATGGTCTGCTCAATTGGATGCCTTGGTAGACGATTTATCCGCAAAGGGAGCACTATCTCCTGTTCACCCGAGAGAGACAAATGTTATTCTGGCTCGGATCGACCTATTGCGCCAGGCCATTAGTCGTAAGGACACTTTCTATTTGGTGATGCATCAATTGTACTGCCGATATAGCATTGATCCAAGTACATTGAGTCAAATTAGAGCCCCTGAGATGGGCATGCAATCACTCATCCCTCTTCTGGAAGACAATAGAATGATGCATGGTTCCGCTACCATTGGTTTCGCCCATTTCCCGGCATCTCCACAGCAGTTGATGCAGACAACGTGGTATCTCCAGGTGCTGTCCAGTGTTCCGGAGTTTTTATCACGGTTTGGCAGTCAATGGCAGGGCATCTGGCTTCAGGCCCGTCATTCCCCGTTGGTGTCTCATCTTTGGCAAGCACTCGCTTGCCAATCTCCGATTTTGATGTCGGTGATGTTCATGTGTGTTGCACGGCGCCTTCACCACGAGAAATATGTCAAGCCTCTTGTGGAGTTGTTTTGGAAAGATTTAAAAGTTTTCCACCAGTGTAGGGACTATGACCTCCCCAGGACTACTCAGCAGGCCCATGACTTCAATTTTGCCCAACAGTATCTCGGCTTCCCACGTTTGCCTGAATATCAACCACAAACACCATCTTCCTCCCACCCCGCACCTCCCAGACCTCATAATCAAACCATGTCTCAAGCCGCTCCAGGAGTATCATCGCCATATCCTAGATCTGCGGTTGCTGGTATCAGTCAACCTGCCACAAATTCACCTGCTCTAAGCCCACTTGGTGCTCCTTTGCAGCATTGCCCCTCAAACTCACCCCAGGGGCAGGTTGTTGGTCCAGCTGCCGGGTCTCTTCAATTTGGCGTAAACTCACAAGTGCAGAATACCCCACAATATGTTTATTACAGCTCCATGCCACAAGGGCAGGGACAGGGACAAGGAGTGTGGTATCCGGTGCATCCACAAATGAATCCACAAATGCAAATGCACAGGCAGGTAGTGCTTGAACAGGTACCACCTTCTCGGGGGCACCAATCAATGCCAGGTTCAAATGGCCAACAAATGCAGCGTCGAACAATGATGCTTACGACTTCAGTAGCGCCTGCTAACCCCTCCACCACCTCCCTCCAATCGAGTGCTCTCACTTCTACACAGTCAGCGCAGTCATTCCACGCTCCTTCTCCCATATCCGCGACGCCAACTACAACAACCCATATGGCCCAGCACCAGATGCCCCCACAAAGGCCTAATAATCATCACAACCGACAACCTTCGAGGACATTGCAATCGTCCGGTTCGCCGATCGCACGTGCACCCCCTCAGGGACAGATTCCCCAGGGACAGCATTTCCAACCTTTATCCAACTCTGCCTTCCTCCCATTACCTGGCTACAGAGCACCCATGATGGTGAATCCAAATCCAACGCGTCTCGGCCTACATTTGGTTGATATTCGTGATCCCATGAAGAAGCTGGTAAAACTGGATCCAGATGGCAATGAAATTGAGACTGATCTGTTCACCTATCTCAATACCTTCATTGTACAGCCCACAGTCGTTGACATTGATCAGCCGATCTACACGTGGAATTTCTCTTTCACGCATGATGAGCGCCAAAAGTTCCCACACATAGTTCGCGGGAAAGAGAGTCAATATTCGGTTTGGACCTTTAGGCCTGGTTGCCGGACTATTCGCCTGCGATGCATTCGCCTTCCTGGCAGTCCAAATACTGTGACAGAGAAAACCTGGTCTACCACGAGCACTTTCTGGCCCAGTGTCTTTTACATTACTGTGAACGGCAAAGAGCTCTATGTGCGCCGGAAGGTCCACAACGGAAAAGACCTGCCTTTGGACATCACCGAGTACCTTAAAGAAGGCGAAAACTGTATACGGCTCGATCTGATCTTAGGACAGGATGAGTGCAAGACCTCCAAATTCGTCTTTGGAGTGGAGGTCATGGAGGTCGCCGAGTTCGACCAGGTACTCACTTTGATCAAGTCCGTCTCAGCTGCCGATTCTCGTGCAGCTATCAAAAAGCGTCTTTCTCCTATCACCGACGACGATGACCTGGCAGTTGTCACCGACAACCTCACAATCGACCTAGTGGACCCCTTCATGGCACGCATTTTCGATGTCCCCGTTCGCTCGCGCCACTGCAGCCACCATGAATGCTTCGACCGTGACACTTTCATAAGAACCAGGAGATCCGTATCCGGCCAGACACCGATGGTCGACAACTGGCGCTGCCCGATTTGTAAGGGCGATGCCCGTCCGCAGTCCCTGGTCGTCGATCACTTCCTTGCTGATGTCCACGCCGAGCTTGCCCGTACAAACCGACTTGACGGGATCAGAGCAATTCAAATCAAAGTTGATGAAACCTGGACCCCCAAGTACGACACCGATGAGGCCTCGCCCACCGCAGACAAAGTCTTCTCTCCGAAGCGCAAGGCCGAAGACTCTTTGGGCCCCGTTGCCATGCGCCCCAGGAACAACGTGTCTAGTGGTAGTCACAGTTCCCCTGTTCGCACCCAAGAACATACCGTCATTGAACTGGACTGATGCGTTCATCGGGGTTTCCAACAAAAGTTCTTCCCTTCTTCTTCCCTAATGACCCTAGCCATCCAATGTCTTTCGTTTATCTTTGCATGCATTTGAAAAGAAAGATACCCCTTATTGCGTGCTCTTCAAATGCATTTCTTCCATGTTCTCTCATGATCTGTCATTACCGGCGTTGGGGAGACTGGGTCTTAACGGCTGCGCCCGGCTTTTTTTTCATTCATCTCAATGTGTTACGAATAAAATGAAAACATACTTAAAAGAAATAAAAAAAAATTGAACCCAAGGCTTCATGCTGAAACTCAAAAGCTCAGTTTCATCTACCATCTTGCCTTGACTCTCCACTCCAGTAAGAACAAGCTTACATGTATATTCCAGATAAATCAGTTTCTCTGGTATCGACATTAGATTATACAAAATATATTATATTGGGCATTTAGATAGTACACCAAGTGCCCGGAGTAAGGAAAGGCTACTTTCTGACTCTCCTAACATGACTAACGAGGTTCTCAATGACACCCTCGAAAGCCTCTTTTTCGCCAACCAAGCCATCCCGCCGCTTCAGCCAGTATTCCAATACCGAACTGGCTCGCTGGGCAACCTGGTTTAATTCCTGGACATGCAGCTTCAACTCTGAATCCGTGAGACCATTCAGGGCAGCATCGGTAGTATCGCACAGCCGGCGGACCGCCGAGAGATCTATTTCCGGTGCCGGTGGTGCGCCGCGGCGGGGAGTAGCCTTCTGACGGGAGGGGGCTTGCCCCTTTTCAAAGTTGTTGTCGTTGCCTTCTTCTTTGCGGACTTGACTGGCGGATCGAGCGCCGGGGCTCTTTGCGCCGGTGCCTTCAAGATCAATAGAAGGTAGGACGAGCTTTTTCTGTTTGGAGGCTGGGAGGATCTCATCCAGATCAACGGGCACACCCAGGGATACTAGGAATAGTCGACGGATGCGGGATTTCACCCAGTTTTGGGGCTGGAGAGGTGGTGGTGCCACGAGCTGGGACCATAGTGAGAGAGATCGCTCAGTGCTGAAGATTGCTGCGGAGTCTGGGATTGGCTCAACGGGAGGGAGGGCGCTTGTGTCTTGGGATTCGGGGAAGAGGATGTCGAGGGTGTCTTGGAGGGAATCGAGGAGTTCGGAGGTGGATTTGAATGTGTCGAAGTCAATAAGAGGTGGAGGTGCGTGAGATTGCTGAGGTGCCGCAGTTTCGCCTGTGGGAGCTTCCTCTGTGCTCGGCTCTTGGAAGCCGTCGTCGAAATCTCCAAAATCATCATCTCCCATGTCGTCCTGCTCTTCTACAAATTCATCAAAATCATCTCCCGCTTCTTGCTTTTCATATCCGTGGTCGTCGTTCATGTCATCCTCCAATGAGAGGTCTTTAGTTTCTAGGTCTGTATCATGTATTGAGACATCCGGGACGGTTTCTACCGTGTCGGGGGATGTGTCACTTGTTGAGCTTGTATGAGCTTGTGGGTGTGGCGGCAGGTCTTCTTCAGCAGGTATTGTATCCACACGCTCAAGCCGTGTCTCGGGAATTTCTGTTGTTGAAGTCCCACCAACCTCAGGGGGTGTTGGGTCGAATGTTAGCGGTGTTGGGCTCGCCTCGGAATCTGAAACCTTGGTCACCACGTCGGGCACAGCATCGGCGAGACGCTTTTCATGTGCCAATGTTCCAGGGACTTCGCCATGGCTAGGTTCATCTGGATCCACCTTCTCAACCACTGTGTGCGGAATCGGTGAGCCTTCAGGACTTAGGCTTTGATCCTCTAACCCCGCAGACGAATGCGTCTGGCTGTGTGAGCCTTCCGGAATAACCTCGATCTCATCGGGAACTGCATCCTGTTCTCTCTTTTCAAATGCTGCTGTGCCAGGAATCTCGCCATGTTGGGTGCTGCTGTCAACCCTCTCAACTCGTGTTCGCGGGACAGGGGAAGTGCGACCGGATTGTGGGAGTGACCGGAGTTGGGGATTGCCTTCACTGGCGTCTGAGAAGTGTTCATCGTCGCTTTCAGAAGCTGCTAGAAAAGGTGTCAGTTTCAAACAAATATATAAGTATATCCAAGGGTTATGTACTATGGTCACCAGCTCCTGGATCTTGCATTTCCGTAGTCCTGCTGGGGGGCTCTAGATGTGAACTAGACAAATCGGACGGCCCCTCCGACATGATTGCAGCTTGAATTCAGAGTGTTAACATGCGAGAAGGGGCACATAGAAATGAATAATTCAAAATGCAAGATGGGGCCGTGTGTAGTGTGCAGTGACGACTTGTTTCCCTGCGATCGATGTGAGTCCAGAACACGTCTGCCTTAGGCACCAATTATCAACAAGTTGGCCTGTTTATTCAGGCATAAATGATGCCTTGTATTCAAGGCGTAAATCTTTCAGCGCGTGCTTGCCAAACTCCTTCCAATTATTATTGTCAATTGTCTCGACTTTCTTGTCCTGCTTCTCATTCCACCCTTAGGCTCTGTGTCTCAATCCATTTGACCAAGAGCTCCATTTTCTCATTGTTGGATCTTTTGATCCATTCTGCAGGCCCACCTCCCCTGCTCCGTGTATTGCTGGCGCTTTCTCTCCGTCCAGCTTTTTCCCTCTTAACCCTCAAGCTCGATCACCAACACCATGGCGTTTTCTTTCGGCGCCCCAGCCTCTACAGGCGCCTCCAGTGGAAGTCTTTTCGGCACAGCGGGCAATGCTTTCGGTGCCAACAAGGATAACAATGCGTCTAGTGGTGGCCTCTTCGGTAATGTCGGAGCTTCATCTACTGGCAACAGCGCATCGCCGTCTTTGTTTGGAGGAAATGCTGCAAGTGGCCAAAGCACACCAACTTTCGGCAATGCAGGCGCTTCCAATGCGACCAACGGCGGTTCCTCAGCCTTCAGCTTCGGTGGCAAGGCTCCATCCGGAACTAGCACGCAGCCCAACTCACTCTTCGGCGCAGCTGCCGGCAGCCAGACTCCCAATAAGTCTACGGAATCGACCCCACCTGCCAGCAATGCGCTGTTCGGTGGCGCAGGTACAAAGAGCATGTTCGGTAACGCAGCCCCAACAGCTACCCCTGCTCCCACGGGAGGCAGTTTGTTCGGCAACAACTCCACTACCCCTGCTGGTCCCCCGCCTGCATCCAACCCACCCAGCAGCTTATTCGGGGCTGCGAAACCCGGAGTCTCGACTACCCCCACCGCCGCGCCGTCATCTACCACACCTGCTACCTCACAGACGCAGCCATCTAACAATATGTTTGGAGGAGGGGCAACCAAGCCGTTATTTGGAGGTGGTGCAACCGCTGCTGCGCCCAGCGGCGGCCTATTCGGTGCAAACAAGCCGGCCGAGTCAACTGCTCCCAAGACTGCTGCAGAGACCACGTCACTCTTCGGCGCAGCTGCACCCGGGGCTGGTGCGCAAAGCTCGCAGACACCGTCTTTGTTCAACAATAAGGCTGCTCCCGGCGGCGACTCCGCTTCGAAGTCTGCATTCCCGGCCCTCGGCGCTCCTGCCTCCACCGCAAACACAACTCTCTCACTAGGAGCCCCCGCCACGTCGAGTGCTACCCCTCAAAAGTCTCTTTTCCCTTCCACCGGAAGTGCCACATCCACAGCTGCTCCCTCTACTACTCCGGTCACGGCTCCTCTTGGAGGAGGCCTGTTTGGGGCCTCAGCTCCCTCCACTACTCCAGGTACTGCGGCCACTGCCGCGCCTGCTACTACTACACCTGCTGCCGCACCCACAGGCGGCTTGTTCGGCCAAGCTGCTACTACCACTTCAACTCAGCCAGCAACCTCCGCCAGTTCAGCGCCCCTTGCTGGTCTTGGTAGTCAAACCACCGCTGCTTCGACTACAACCGCTGCCGGCGCTGCTCCAGCTGGTCCCTCCGCCCTTGGACAGTCTACCGCGGGACCCGCTCCTCCAGCCCAGTCACGTCTGAAGAACAAAACCATGGATGAAATCATCACCCGATGGGCCACAGATCTCGGCAAATATCAAAAGGACTTCCGTGAGCAGGCGGAGAAGGTTTCCGAGTGGGACCGTTTGTTGGTGGATAATGGTACCAAAGTTCAGAAACTGTACGGCAGCACTGTTGATGCGGATCGAGCTACCCAGGAGGTTGAGCGCCAATTGTCAGCGGTTGAAGGTCAACAGGATGAGCTCAGTTCATGGTTGGATCGATACGAGCGTGAAGTCGATGAGATGGTTACCAAGCAAGTGGGCCCTGGAGAATCCCTTCAAGGACCTGACCAGGAGCGTGAGACAACGTAAGTGCAATCACCACAACATCTGATATTTATGGTTTTACTAATATGACCATTAGTTACAAACTGGCCGAGAAGCTCTCGGAACGCTTGGACGAAATGGGCAAGGATCTTACCAGCATGATTGAAGAGGTCAACGGTGCTTCATCCACATTGACCAAGACCAACAAGGCGGATGAGCCGGTATGTCACGAACCAGTACTGATCCCCTTTATGTGGAGAATACTCTGCTCACACATCTCTATAGATCTCGCAGATTGTCCGCATTCTCAACGCACACTTGTCACAGCTGCAGGTGATCGATCAAGGCACCTCGGACTTGCAGTCCAAGGTTGCCGCTGCCCAGAAAGCAGGCCAATCGATCTCTGCCCGTCTCGGATACGGCTATCCTAACAATGGTATGGGCAACAACAACACCGCTGATGATTTCTACCGTTCGTTCATGCAAGGGCGGTAAAGGGGTAGATGACTTTTTCTAATGATTTGAACTCGGAGTTATCGGCTACTTGGCACCTCGATGTGCTTTGGGGGAATGTTCTGTTGTAGTCAGGGAATGCTAATAGTCGGTCACAATAAAATGCTTGCATGCGATTTGTGATTAACAACTTTGAAACTTTGTAGAATTCAATGCAATAGGGTTGACAGATTCTTCTCAGATACTCATTGTATTATTATATCCTTCTGGTCATTCCATGGACATTGTTGATTTTGATGCTCGGCTGAGCCTCCAGAAGATCCACCACTTTTCTCTG